ATTAGCTATTACCATATCCCATCCAAGTTTATTTCACTTCATTTCTTGTCATTCCAACCACACAAGTCAGATATACTTATATATATTTACATCATGCCCCGAGGAGCAATGTACGACGACGGCATCCCCCAAAGCGACAACGCCATCGTCAACACCGGCGTGTCGAAAGTGCATGGGTCATTTCCGGTAAAAACATCCCACCCCCCCCCAAACACATCTCATTACCCACCAGAAAGAACCCCCATCCATCTTTCTGTTTGTCCGTCTGCTTGAGACTTATGTTTAATGGTAATGGTTATGCTTGCTGCAAGGGCTCCGACGTCGACCGCTCCTGGAAAGCCGCCCAACTCCCCGAGGAGATGGGCACGGTGGGCCTGCACAGCGGGCAGGGGAGTCGCGGGTATCCGTACAAGGGGAGTGGGAAAGGAGGAAAAAAGAAGCCGCGGACGTTGGGGGAGAAGAAGGGGTTGGGGGGGCAGAAGGCTTGAAATATACCTATATATATGTGTCAGTGTGTGTGTGTGTCTGTTACTGAGGGGGAGAGTTTCTCTGGAAGGTAGTTATTTACATTAGGGTTAGAAGAGGGATGAACGAAGGAGTGAATGAATGAGAAAAAAATAATATATGGTTTTATTCATTGATTGATTAATTGATTGTCCCATCGAGTTGACTTAAATTGAATTGAATCGATATTAAAGAATTAGATCAAAGGGCTTATTAGTTCGAGTTTGTCAAAACTAGACATGTCTACAGACATACAAACAAGATACTATTTTGAAATTAGAAGGGAAGAAAAAATATTATTTATTTACCCTTGGATCAGGATTGTTCTCAAGTACATATTGTACACACTCTATTTGCTATCTTAATCTCGCATCAGTGTGATTAACAGAAAATATTGCTCGTCACAAAGGAAATGTCTATTCACTCTAGGCTGGCTGGCTGACAGGCAACGGAATTAAAAATATATAAAACGAGAGAAGGAGAAGCCCACTGTAACAGAGGCAGCGGCAGTGGTATTGAAATTGAAAATTAAACATATACACATCTAAAAAGTCGACAAAGAAAAAAAGAAATAAAAAAAATAAATAAAATAAATAGTCAGGACGCTGTGCATGCCTAAATATAGCTAGCACAGCTGAGCGATGTATATGAGCATCATGAACCCGCCTTTTCAGTCTCTGGCGACGACGACGACCCGTTCGGCTCCGGCGTAATCGTCTTGGCCTTGACCACCTGAATCAGGTGCTCGCCCAAGTCCCCAGACCCGTCGATCTTGCAGATCTTCGAGTTGAAGAATTCAACGTCGGCCAGCATCCTACCGTAGTCAGCGTGCTATCCTAAGCAGAAGACGCAAACTGTCAACTCACCTCTGTCTCCCCGTTTCCGTCTTGACCGTCGCCTCCTGAAACGCCTTGGTCCACTGCTCCTTGTAGTTGCTAAAAACCGGATTCATAATCATCATTACCGTCATTTCAGGGAAATGCCTGGCCAGGACCCGATGCAGCGTCGCCGTCTCCTTCGTCAACGTCTCCATGTACCCGCTCGTGCCGGCCTCCTTCGTGTCCCAGTCGATCTTCTTCATCGCAGCGACATGGCTCGCCGACCGAGAGCTCATAATGTCCACCAGCTTCTCATGGATGCCATTCTGGTGCTCCTGGCAGAGCCGTTTGACCTTGTCGAATTCGGCAATCAGCTGGCTCGACGACGAATGCCGGCGCACAAATTCACGCACATACGGTATCAATGCGATGATGAAGCTCAGAGCCTGCGACGACAGCGCCAGATGCTTGGTGGTGATGTTTTTCAACCCTGCGCTTCTCGTGGCCCCCGCACCAAGAATTAGCTGTGACGAGCGTGAGTTGAAGAGTTTTAGACACTCCACGAGATTGGACCCGATCTCTTGCGCCATACTAGGGATGTTGGCCGTGAGACACTCAAACTCTTCAATGCTCTTCATAATCGTCAAAGCTGATTCTGGCAGGATGTATCGCTGCTCGTCAAACGTGGCCGTTCTGACCTTGTCTTTGCCAGAGCCGTTGATCGCCGTGCCGTTTTCTGGCGCAGCCTCCTCCGGTATATCTTCTGGCCGTAACCAGATCTTCGAGGCCTGCAGCCACGCATCAACGTCTGCCGTACTCGCGCGAAGGATCCTGGAAAGTGTACGGTTTTCTCCGTCGCCAAAGTCTTTGGCGTCCCATTTATCCGAATCCATGACCTCCACGATGCGATGGCGCTGGTTGTCGCTAAACCTGACAATAAAGTCTCGGATCTGATTATCAACCACCGTCTTCAGCGCGGTGCCGCTCCGACCAGAAATCGCCTCGCATTCATCGGCGAAGAGCCGGTTGAGACTAAAGTACTTCAGGAAATCTTCCAGAGGAAGGTGTGAAGTCTGCTCCGACCGCACCTTGAGAACCTTGACGATCTGAGACTGGACAATATCGACAGCCTGACCCAGCAGACTAGACATGTCCAGCACTTGAAGGATCTCCTCCTGGGCGGCGACGACATCTGCAGCCCTTCCTTTCTTTGTCGACTCTACCACATCATCCAAGCTTTGCGGTTCTGGACTTCGCGGTGGCGATCGGACGCCCGACTGAGCTCCAAGACCGCTGGTAATGTCCAGAAGAACCTTGACCTGGACGCTGAGTCTCCTCAGACATTCACTGACACCCGTATATATTTGCTTCAGCATATCATACGCATCGCCAGGCTCCAGCGCCCGTAGATTCCGTGCGAGGATTGACGACTTCTCCTGCTGGCTCAACTGTCGCCCGCCATGCGTAGACGCAGACACCATCGACTCATTGTCATCGTCACTTGAGTTGGGAAGATGTCTGCGAATCAGCCCTTTCATCTCCCGCAGTACCGCGTTCTTGAAGGAAGTCGCTGCAGGCATCGTGTAGTGAGCTCTACCCAGACCCATGAGCTCCACATGCAGTCTGGATCTCAGCTGATCATCAAAAGACATGTATGCAGGAGAGACTGATGGCGGCCGCTGGCCACCCCGGACCCGATGGAAGGACATTCCCCAGCGCTGTAGCGTCACGTCCGGGGAGACACTGCTGACGTGTCGTCGCAAATCGCCCAACAAGGCGTCCAAAAATCTGCTTTCATAGCCCATCCCAATTCGTTGTCGGAGCTTCGCGAGGTCCTCAGAAGCTCCTTGCAAGGCCTTCAGGCCCCTCAAGTCGATATTCTGCCTCTGCTCCTCTTGTGCAGAATCGTCTTTACCTCGCCGTCTGGAAACCTGTTCCCCGGCCATCAGCCTCTCCACCTCGTCCAACGCCTCCATAGCCTCCTCAATTTCTCCCTTTTCCACCAGTTCTTCGCAGTCAGCCACAGACTCTACCACTTCATGTAATTGAGCCACTGCATCGGCCAACTTCCGAACGTTCTCCCTGCGGCGGCGCAGATTGACTACTTTGAGCCCACCCATGGCCATCTCCTTGTCAATCTTATGAAGATCCTTCCGCAGGGCCTGTATCCTTTTAACGGAATCGGCAGCCTCTGCGTGGAGTTCGCGTAGTGACCCCAGGGCAGTGAAAAAGGACTTGGAGGCGGTCGAAATCGATGAGATGAGATGGATTTCTACCGTATCCATATACCAAGAGAGCTTCTCTTGGAGAATCGCATTCGTTGCTAGCGCCTTTCTGCCAGTACTGGCTGGCTCCACCGTTTCTCCATTGGCAGTCTTCTCCTGAGCTGGCGGCCTCGATGGTTGTCGGACCACTTCAGACCTTTCGGAGACAACATCAAAGGTGCGCGGATTCTCTAGATGGAAGTCTTCCTCAAAGTATACATTGGGAATGGTCGAGAGAGGAGCCACGATTTGAGGGGCCCTTCCCCGTCCGCCATAGGGTCGTCTTCCCCGCGCATCAAATGGTGAAGTGGCGCGAGAGCTCGCGGACATTCCAGAATAACGCCGTTCATGTCGCTCCCGTGAATGCGCTTTCAAGGTCTCGAACTCATCGGTCTTGACGATGCCTGCCTTACTGCCTCGTACCAACTGAGAATCGCCCTCCTCGCCGCCTTCTTTCGCGCGTTGGAAGGCATCGTACAACGATCCAACTTGACTGAGATACTGCTGAAACGCCTTCGATTCCACACGCGGTATGTTCGTCAGCGTCACCGGAGGAATGTCTTTGGTAGATGGCGGCTTATATCCACTCGAGGGCACTGCAGTGTGGGGAACGAGACCGGTTCGGACGATAGGAGGTTGAAGCAAGGTAGAGATGGCTAGATAGAGAAAAATATTAGCATCCTAAAGTCGTCTTTTCCCAGTTCATGTTCAGGTCTGCACGAACCATTCTGACCTGACTCGGCTATTGATCCATGATGCTGGGAAGTGTCAAGGATCCCGCCAATGCTGACAATCGAACTCGCGGTGGACGACCGCCGGGGAAGATACCGCTGGGACGGAGCCGAACGGGGGGATTCATGCTGCGTGAACGAATACTGCGAGATGGACGGGGTGGAGGTGGCTGAGGCCAAACTGTCGATCGACTTCCGCGGGCTTGCACTGCTCATCTCGTTCGAGGAGGCCGGCGCCTACGAGCAGGTCATCCACCATGAAAGGAGCGAGTGTCTCCAGGGCGTTACCGGCACATTGCCCAGGGGACCACTCTGGTTGCCGCTATCTGGGATTCTGGAGTCTCCCAATACCTGTACTCCGTACAGATCTCCGGCGAAAGGCAGTAAGGGTCGAAGGTGCCGTGCAGTTGAAGCTCCCAACAACGTGAAGCGCAGCCACCTGCTACATGACAGCGCGCCCGATCGGGTAAGGCGTCCTTGGCCGCGCCCGCACTTTGCACCGAGTGCCTGACCGGGCCTCGGGACAACCCGTTCCGGACACATAAATAGCACAGCATTAGATCAGAGGATAATGGACGTTTACCATACGGAGAAGGCGTGCCATGCTGAAATACTCATCGAACGGGTATTATTCTAGTAACCACTATGAGCTGCATGCAATCCGAGAACGCCCAACACCAAATCCACCTGAATCTCTTGATCCCTCTTGTATAGAATCCTCCGATCGCTCGCTGCATGGTCGAAATCACTCCCAGTAGTAAGCCAATAGAATGATGACTCCGTAAAATATACATGATGTGAACGTCACCTCATCAGAAACGCAGACAAAGCAAAACGAGGCATGTTCTACACTCCATTCCTGTAGACCTGCGAACCTCCTGACCGGATCTGGATTGTCTCTCTGCGTTGCAGCACCAGCAGTGCTCGGTTCAGGGCCTGCTCGCTATACCCTCTGCCGTCGACGAACTCGCGGCGTAGAGTTGCCAGGCTGGTACTCCAGCCGATCGGAAGACGACGCTTCAACTCGTCCTCAACCTTGCTCGCCTCCTCCATGAGCTCTTTGCTTCCTTGGGCTTCACCCTGAGTCACAGCATCCATCGTCGACGCGAGGAAAAGCCGGATCGCCTCGTCGACATGAGCTTCAGTGGCGACGGGTGACAAGCTCAATTTGGCAAGAGCCTCCGTAATCCGAATGATAGCCTCCAGTTGGCGCACAGTGATCGGGATTGATGAACGGGCGTTCGCGTCAAGTTCAGCGCGGTGGACTTGTTTGCGAATTGACACAAAATGCGACGACAGCTTCTCTGCTGCTTCTGGGGAAAGCTGAGGGGCACAGCGTCTAGAGAACTCGTTAGCTTCACGAAGAGGCAAAAAGTAGGGAGCAAAAGCGTCAACGTACGATCTGCAGTAGCTAATATACCGTTTCATTTTCTCGACGGGGATCTCCGCTTCAACGTGCTCCTCCACACCTTTTCCACCCATATGAATGCCCATGACATGGCGTGCTATCCGCTCATCGCGACTTCGCTCATGGTCGTCTCGCACAATGAAGATCATATCAAAACGAGACAGGATAGTTGTCTGGAAATCGATGTTCTCGCCAGGTGTCTTCAGATCGTCGTAACGGCCAAAGATCGGGTTGGCAGCTGCAAGAACCGAGGTCCTCGCATTGAGAATTGTTGTAATACCAGCCTTGGCGATGGAGATGGTTTGCTGCTCCATGGCTTCGTGAATGGCCACCCGATCTTCGTCTCTCATCTTGTCGAACTCATCGATACAGACAACTCCTCCATCAGCAAGGACCATCGCACCTCCTTCAAGATAAAACTCGCGGGTAGTGGGGTCTCGCTGGACAGAAGCCGTCAGACCGGCCGCTGACGAACCCTTGCCCGACGTGTAGATGGCGATGGGAGCCACCTTTTCCACAAATTTCAGCAGCTGGGACTTGGCAGTACCGGGATCTCCCAGTAACAGGACGTTAATGTCTCCACGAAGCTTCATGCCGTCCGGAAGAATCTTCTTCGAGCCGCCCATGAGCAGACACACAATGGCCTTTTTGATATCCAGGTTGCCATAAATCGAAGGCGCAATGCTTCGGGCGAGAGCTTCATACAAATCAGGTCTGCGGCTCATCTCTAAAAACTCCTGCTCCTCCTCTTCCGTGAAGATCGCCGCGCCCTTAGCGTTGTGATCAACATCGGTACTGATTCCCACAGCCCGCAGATAGGGATTGCGGAGGGCGACAGCATTGCCTTTCCCACCACCCTTGGACTGATAAATCGAGAAGATACCCATTACCGTGCACCGCGTGCCAGGGACGACGCGGTTAGCAAGGTATCGGTCTGCAGAGATGAGAACATGACGCGGCAGTTCACCCACAGGCACCTGATCGGGAGCTTCCTGGAGCTTGAGCACCTGTTGGTCGACAAATTGACATTTCTCGTGCACGATCACATAGGGATCCAAAGGGCACTTCTCTTGCGGTTGTTCTCCGGGCTGAGGCCTGCGACCGCACTGTCTAGGCAACGAAAGACCAGCGAACCCGCTATCCACAGTGATATTTTCAGTGTACTCGCAGTTCTTGCACTTAATATTAACGACAGTGGCCTTTGAGGATATCGTCGATGCACCGATCACAATACCGGGGATTCGAACGAGATGAGAGATGTTTGTGGCGTTGAGGTCTCTGATGGAGATGTGAGATGCACTGGAATGAAGAAGTAGCTGGTGCGGAGGGAGGTCAATGTCTCTTTGAGAGGGATAGACGATGTGTTGCGTGCACTGCTTCAGAGCAGCTTCGAACTAAAAGAGATGTCCGCATAAGCATTACGATTCCATATCAAATATCACAATAAGAAAAAGCTCACCAGAGGAATGATCTCAGCCGGCTCCGTCGTGAGCTTGTGAGCGAGCTCCTCGTTATAGGAGATCAAGTGCGCAATGTCAACGTCGCAGTAATACTGCTTTACCAGGACATTTTGCCGAAGTTGATCTCTACACGGCCAGTAAGCAAGGATTCTTTTTTTTTCTTTTGCCATGTTCTCCGCCAGTTCATTTTTGCCGCTCACCTGTAAATGAACGCATTGTCGAGTTGGAAAGCAAGAATAAACTCCCGCAGGCGAGCCTGAATCTGCGTGCGGGATTCCTCGACACCATCCTGACTAGGAGCGAGGACGCTCAACGTATATGGTGTACGTCTGTCCATCTTTGCATTTGATACAAATGATGCCAAAGACAAGCTGTGGTCTTGGTGCTTGTTGTCGTTGTGCGGGGAAAGGCACGAAAAAAGCGTCGAGGTATCTCCCCTTGCGGTGTCGTTTCCACAAGGGAAGTCGGAGAGACGCGAAAGAAACGCGTCGCGCGTTTTACGCGTTAAGTGGTTTCCCTTTTGGTAGTCTCGTATCCACGTGATCTCAGATTATCAGCGGTCAGTTACTGACTTGACACCCTTTCTCCAATTGAAGAACAGGCATGTTACATAGTAGAACTAGGCTACTTGTGCGGAGTACTTCGTAGTCAGGCCAGGAGATCCGGAGCGCCACAGAATAAGCTGAATACATGAATTCAAAGGAACAAATGGAATTCTCCGTACAAAGTCCGACTCCTTGCCTCTTCTCTGGGAATGTTTGAAACAAGATGTCTCAATTATCTATAATCTCACACACGTACAAAGATCAATTGAATATTCTCACCGCTCTTTGGTCTGAGACAGTCAGATTTCAACCTGTCAGTTCCATGTAAGGAGTAGGCAGAAGAAGATTTCGAATGCCAATACGGAGTACATACTCCTGAGGTCCATACAGAGCACTCTGTATTTTACGGTCTGATATGATTCCCCACCCGCGATAAAAAGGTTGTTGGCCTGTTAATGAGACTCGATATACTTCGTACTACGTATGATGAAGCTCACGTCCAAATTATTCGATCCACTTCACTTTTCCAACCTTTTTGTCTATGGACGGAGCCTGGTGTAATTAAAGACAGGGCGTAAGGAGTATTTACAGGTCGCAGGCAATAGATTTAGTCCAGAATAATGAGAATGATTTCGAATCAGACAGCCTTCTTCTATTAATAGAGTATTGATTTTGCTCGATACTCGATACGACGTCGGTCGGCATGCCGCCGCCCACACGTCCAGCCGAGCGTCCCTAAGCTGCCCCACGCAGCCAATGATGTCGGCGGGGTGCGGGAAACTTATCGTCAGACAAGAGAAACGTAATAGACTTTTCACATAATTCCCAGCTTTCATTCAGTTCGAAGTAACAAAAATTTACATCGTGACCACGGTTTGCATCTCCTCACCCATCAAGCGACAGAGGAATTCGAATTGACGGACTTGCAAGTCGGGCGAACGAGCCTGGGGGAGACGTCTAAGTTTCTGATATCTTCTCTTGGGGTCATTACTCTTGCTTTTGTTCTTTTGAAGTTTGCGTACTTCCAGGTCTACATCTACTGATATCCAAAAAGCATGGCTCCCTTGATTCGAGTCATTGGCTCTCTCAATGTCGACATGGTCTCTGTGACCCCGCGCTTCCCCGGCCCGGGAGAGACCATAACCGCGACATCCTTTATGACAAGCGCAGGAGGAAAAGGTGCGAACCAGGCTGTCGCATGTGGACGGCTGTCCCGATCGCGACCCTCGTCCACATCGTCCTCGTCATCAGCGAGCCCGGTCAAGGTCGAGATGGTTGGCGCGGTAGGTGGACGCGATGGGCACTTTCAGACTCTCCTGCGGCCGACTCTGGAGAGTTCAGGGTTGGACACGTCGCGGATCAGAACCATCGAGGATGCCTACACAGGCGTTGCTGTAATTGTGGTAGACTCCTCTGCAGGCGGCGAGAACCGCATTTTCTTTTCACCAGGGGCGAATTACTCCGGTATGCAACCGATCCCCGAAGTACTAGGGACGGGTCTGGCAGCACCGGTCCCTGATATCATCGTCATGCAGGGAGAGATCCCTGTTGACACCGTGATTGGAATTCTAAGAGAGATTCGGGCATTCAAAGAGAAGAACCGACGTGACGGGAAGAAGGGGATCGAGGCAGGTCCCGAAGTCATATTCAATCCAGCACCCGCTCCGCCGGGCGGACTACCAGAAGACGTATACGCAACGGTCGACCACTTAATCATGAACGAGAGTGAGGCCGAATTGATGACGCCCAAGACAGAGCAACTTCTACGTGTCGTGCCAGAGGCAGCCGGAGAAAGCGATAGGGAAAAGGTAGCTCGGTATTTCCACAAACTAGGGGTCACCTATGTTGTCATCACCCTGGGGGCAAAAGGTGTTTGGTACAGTGCCACCGACGCGGGTACGTCTGGCCCAGCCGACGGCGTCACCAGGTTCGTCAACGAGATTCCTGCTGCCAAAGTCGAAAAAGTTCTCGACACCACGGCAGCCGGGGACACATTTGTAGGCGGATACGCGGTGCACATCGCGCGGTGGCGGGAGCATCGTCGAGCGCAGGGCAAGTCGGGTCAGGATCTTGCGGGCGACGACAAGAAGGAGCGCTATCAGAACATTATAGATGAGGCCATGAAACGCGCCACGCGAGCTGCTGCACGCTGCGTGGAGAGGGCGGGCGCGATGGACAGCATTCCGTGGGAAGACGAGATTTGAAACAAGCGCGAGATCAACTAGTACGAAAATGCCGTACTGTACAGTACAATTCTTGTGTTCGTTGTGAGATCCTAAGCACTGTACATACATACATAAGGAACTCGAATTCATCGAGTCTGAATGGAAAAAGGGATGAAGGGTTCCGGTCATTGAGTTAGGTAGCTACTGGACATCACATGAGCATGGCCCCAATTTGTGGTTGACTGGAAAAGCGAGAGACGCCTCAGCGCTTATTTACCAGGGATAGAGATTCAGTCTCTCGAATGGCCTGCTCTTGCCCGCCAACTGCACACTGCACGGGAGACAACAACCAACTTAATGAGAGGTTTCATCAAAATCCTCGCATTGCCAGTAGAAAGACCTACGGTAGACCATGACTCGCGGATGAAGCACCGCGTGAGGGGCAGAGCGTATATCGAACTGCGTGTCCACGCGGGGCCGTACGAGGGATTAGCACCAGGTCGCAGGAGAAACCATGACAACAGCGAGCTTGGATCAGCCGAAACTGAGACTAGGAGAGGCCGGAGCGTAGTAACTACTAAGAGGCAATAATATTAATAGTATATCAGACAGCCAAGAAGGACAGAGCGCATCCTGCATGACGGAGAAATCCCCATCGAGGATAGCGGTACGGTATCGATCGCGTAACGACGATACGACGCGTGGGCGACGGACGTGCGGTGGCGCGGTGTGGCAGGTACCCTGCCGCCGGATGGCGCAGGCGGAGTACTTCTGCGCTGCTGCCGCGCGTCGGGTACGCGGCTGTAAGGGCGCGGTAACGATTCCACCGCGGCGTGTCGTGACTCTGCCGGCTGCAGGACGCCCAAACAAAGCGATTCGCATGATCAGCCAACATTAATTAACAAGGCTATCTGAGATAAACATCCGTAGTCTACGGGCACTCCGCAAGAATTGCCGCTGATCTCATCCTCTGCCGGTCTTCCCTAGCTAGTAGTTACCTCTTTTTTAACCCTAGATCTGATAATAATCAACCTAGTAGTCGACTACCGAGACATGCAGACCCGCGGTGGAGCGCGCTTGGAAGCAACCAGCGACGCGCCTTTGCAAGCTTCTGATGTGTGTAGAAAGGGGCTTTCGTCCAGCATCAACCTGGAAGGGCGTCCTGGACTAGTCTGTAGGCGCGGCGAGGGGGAGCGCTGTCGTCCAATTGCCCCCGGCGATGGTTGCGGCGCGCCTTGCTTTCGAACGCACAGCATTCTGCACGGCCCGCGAGCCTCAGCCAAACAACGACGCGCGCTCCTCCTCCAAGCATTCAGATCTTCGTGCCCTCGGCCACTGGCATTGTAGCATTCGCAGTCTCTGCGGCGTCAACCCGCGAAGAATCTCTGCTCGTCAGACGCACGCTAGTTGTTCCATTCAGCCATCATTCTGCCTCCTGCAGCGCTGTGGGTGGCAACGCATACTTCTCCGCGGTGGGATGGCTGACGGCCAAAAAGCCTCCGCTTGCATATACACCCCCGGCCGCCCACCTCATCGTCCTCTTTCTCGCTCACTGTGCTTCTTCTCTTCCTCGGGGTGTGTGGGATCACTTAGTCCTCTGGGTTGCTCTCGTCCTTCCTTTGCTGCACCGTTCTCGGGCTAATTGTGTATTCTTATCGCGTCAACATCTCAAGCTTGGCGGCCCTTACCATCTACACGTCGTCAAGGTCTATCAGCACTGAATATCCTGTACTTCCTAAAGAACGGAAGTGTCTGACTCCTTCGCTGGAGTCTGGCGAACTTGGGCGCTTCTATCTGTCCCGCTTTTTCCCTCCTATGCCCAGTACCTAATACCTTCGCTTGATTTGCCTGTAACTCTTATCTGCCAACTCGATCCCTTCCTCGACTCGCTTCGCTTTCGCATCAACTCCCTTCTTAACTCATTCGCTCTCTATCATCTGCCATCCCTCCGCATTCGTCTCCTACTTGACCAAGTCCTTCACCCCTATGTGATATTCGTCGCGCTTCCTTACCGCCCGTCCTACACCGCTAGTCACTGCATATCCACCGCCATCATAAAATGGCTACTTTGACTATGGCACCCACTGTGCGTCGGCCTTTTGCCAGCTTGGATGCTGCGCGTCTCCGCGCCTTGCAGAAAGCAAAGGAAAATTTCATGAATCAGCAAAATGGTATGACTGGCGCTTGATGTGCTGTTAGAGACACGTATCTCAGGACGCGTCTTCTGACTTGTACAGGTGCTGCTGCGATGTCTCAAAAGCGTTCTATTCCCTCTGACTCCGACTCGGAAAACGTGGATCCCACCACTCTCAAACAGAGTACAAAGCGGAAGCGTTCTTTTGAGGACGATGAGGATCTCTCCAAAGAGCCTCTTAAAACTCCCAAGACAAACCGTGTCGCATTGGCCCCGTCTGACTCCAAGGTCGCCGCCCATGGCACCTCAACTCCCCGGGCCAGCCGTACTTCCACTGCCCCGGTTACTCGCATTTGCAAGCCTGCCGGTCGTTCTCCTCCACCCAAGCCATGCAGAGGCTTTGGTCGCCGTTCTACCGGTGCTGTTACCCGGCCTGAGATTGCCAGCAAGCGTGCCGTCCATCGTGCGCCATTCTCTATCGCAACCGCCCTAGCGACTGAGAAGCCTAAGCGACACTCCCCTGCTAAGCCGGCCTCGTGGTTTTTTGACATCTACGTCGACACCGTGCAGGATGAGATGACCAATTCGATGCAACACTCTGCCTGTTTCCTCGACATCAGCAACGACGAAGGCAAAACCAAGACGGACAGCCGTGGAAAAGAGAATATCCCACCACACGAGCTTGGCATCACCATGCCCACCACGGGCCAGCAGACCACTACTGAGCCTACGACCAGAAAGAACCTGATGACCGATGAGCCTCGCACTCCTTTGGGAGAACTGAAGGCGTCAGATTACTATGGCGCCGGTTGCCATGCCCTCTCCTTCGTCGTCGTTGAGGACGATGAACCGGAGACTCTGAATGAGAAGCCGGCTTTTGCTCCGAACTTGGACTTCACCAATTCCACCTCGTCTTCTCAGTCAAAATCTCAGCCTCTCTGCGCGCCTGCCATCGCGTCTCTGGAGGTTAGTGCCCCTGTTGAGGCTAGCCAGACTGCTCCTGAGAAGACGAGGGCCACCGAGCCTTCTGACGCTGAAGTCGAGATCTGGGAGAGCGGTAGCGCTGCCGAGGAGGCGGCCCAAGCCGCTGCTGAAGGTGTCAAGACTACCAACCTCTTCGCCTCTGCTTGAACTAGATACTTTTCATACTGCTCTGGATTGGCGTTGGTATGGCTCGGTATGACAATCTCAATTCACGCGGTTAAGCAACGGCGCATGGCGGCTTTTTTTTTTTTCATTTGTCTCTCTCAGTCTAATAACCCTGCCTCATCTGACCACCTTGGGTGTCCGTGTTCTTGTCTTTGGTTTATCAATTTGCTGATCTTGTTTTGCAAAAATGGAATTGATTGGGGTTCTAGGCTTACGGTCTCGTGCATGCACTTTGTTCGGGCTTTTTTTTTAAGCTTGTTGATGGTTTTGTGTCAGCCGGTTTGATTCGAATCGGCGTTTCTGTCTTGGAGTACTGTTATCACTCACGTACCTGGGATGAGAATGAGTGCAATGGATGGATGTCACGGATGGAATGACTTGTTATGGGTGATGAGGTTATGTGTATGCATGTACATAGTCACGAGTTCGTTCTCGAATGGGATTTTTGGACACGCTAGGTATCATTATGAAAGCCCCTATTCTTTTCATCACCATAGTACAGAGTACACTCTGATTGATGATTGATCACGATGATGACAGTATAATCGTACTGTCAAACTTCGTCTTCGTCGTCTTCTTCTCCCTTCTCCAAGTCCATGTTTTCGGGATCTAATTCTTGGTCTTCATCATCATCTTCCTCTTCTTCCTCCTCCTCATCCTCCTCCTCTTCTTCTTCTTCCTCTTCTTCTTCCTCGTCTTCGTCCGCCATCATCTCCTCATCGCTGTTAGCTTCGTCCAGTTTCGGGCGTAATTGCTGCTGCTGCTGCTGCTGTGCTTCTTCAGCAGCGACAGCAGCAGCGATTTCCTCCCGTTCGATCGCCTCTTCTTCGCCTTCGCTTTCCTCCTCTTCTTCCACCAATCGCCGTGCCGCTTCGGCCTCGTCTTCGTCTTCCCATCGGACCTCTTTGGCTTCTGCTGCTGCTGCTGCCGCTGCGGCCGCCGTATCATCAGTGCCTGCTATCTCGACGGCTGTTGCGGTGGGTGTGTGCGGCTGGTTCCGGGCGGTGCGCTGCCGATGGTCCATCCCCGCAGCCTTCCAATTCGGCGCGCCTTTGATCGTGGCTCGCACTTCGGTCGCCAGCTGCATCTCCCGCGAGGTTGCGGTTTCCGGGTCCAGGTGGAAAGCGGCCAGGTTGTCGTCGGCATCGGCGTGGTCCGGGAAAGAGAGGATGCGCATAAACTCCGAGTCGTCGGGGACGCGGTTCTGTTGCGTCATGGCGTGGATTTTGGCGCGGATGATTGTCCGCGCTTTGGCCAGCGTGCCGTTGCCGTACCAGCCGTCGCAGATCCAGTCGCACGTCGACCGGAGGAAGTTTGGTGGTGGATTCTCGGGCATGAGGATCTGCCGCAGTATAGGGTCGACGAGGTCGCAGACCATCCAGATCTTGCCGTCAAGTGGCAGGGGTGGCTTTCCCGTAAACAGGTGCGTATTACTGGTGCCGTCTTTGGATGGGTCATTGACGGTTTCCGACGGCCGAGGGAGCGTATGTCGCCGTCCTCCGCCGCCGTCGCGCGCGAGTTCGGGCTCCCGAGGAAGGATGCGGAATACGAACGTTTGATAGATCCGGTAATCCGGTGACGAGCGAGGGTCGTGGCCGAGCTTGACAATGGCGTCCCGCCAGGGCCCCGAACGGAAGATGTATCCGACGTAGGCGATTGCATGACGCAGGCAATAGCGTTGCTCGTTGCTCTTGAGAGAGTTGCGCAGTCCGCGGCGGGTCCACGCTGGACGCTCAGCGAAGAGGGCCTCAAGGGCCGCAATGGTCTCCTGGAGAGTCTTGTCGAGTGACGATATAGGAGGGCAGTTTTCCCGTGGCTTGGAAGGCACAACTGGAATATCGTATGGAACGAGGTGGGTGAGAACTTTGCTGCTCTGTTGGGTGTTGACAGTCGTTATTTTCCCAGTCGTGTCAACTGACTGCTTGACCGTAGGGTTTTGGCGGTACCTAGGGAACGTCAGTGAAGATCAATGAAAACTAAAATGAATCTCGACATACGTGTACTGGAACGGAACATCTCCAACACTAAATGAGGGTGGTGGTATGATATCCACGTTGCGAACCTCTCCTTTGCTCATACTGATGTCAAACCCCTTCATCTTCTCAACTGCGCATTGGATGATGGTCAGTAAGGCTATTTTTCATCAGGAACTTTCATGGAAACTCATACAGTCAAATGGCAGAATGTGCTCTCGGAATTTCTGCGTAAATGGGCTCGACGCGGTTGAGAATACGAAATCCGGAATGCCTAGAGGGATATATCTGATCAGCTTCTAATTCTTCTGCTGTCAACAGAAAGATGCATACCGCGAAAAACATGAGTCCGTTCCACACGGCCAACTGGCTCGATGGTGTATTTCCCAACATTGTCACGAAGACTGCGTAATAATGTTTTTGCATCTCTCCTCTCAGTCTCGGTATGCCCCGAGACTGGTCTGCAATCCGTGAAAGGTTCATCAGAACCCCTTTTGCGCTTCCGTCCGGTCCATTTGGGAACCGTCACCCGGAGCAAGATATTATTTGACAGGCTGCTGGTTGATTGCAGCGGCCTGGACAGGGGATCCTCTGGACGGAGAGATAGATTTGCTGGAGTATCAGGTTTGGGGGGAGTTCAGAATCTGATAGAAAGCTGGTCAGATTCCTAGAACCGAACAACAGATTTATCACCCTACCTTGGCGATGCCATCGTTGCCATGAAGCGTAGCAATTGCTCTATCGACGTTTTTGACAACACCTGGATGTTCGACACCAACAATCTGCCGTGGAGGAATTGAATAGAACGGTGCGGTCCTATCTCCATGTCTGTCGGCCATGATGAGACGAGTGCAAATGCGAGAGAAGGGAGAGCGACCAGCTGAAATGACCTGGACAAAATTCAACACAATCTATTATAAAATCGGGTGGTGGTGGCCTGCATGTGGTGGGTGAGAGATATGGTATGAGTTTTTCCAAATATATATCTCCCACAGTTCTCCGAATTGAACTGAAGCACCATTCATTGATGCGACTAGTCAAGAATTTCCACCTGAATCGAGCACCATCAACTGAGCTCTATTTACAGGTACATATTAGGCATCTTTCAAGTAAGTACTGCATTGTTTGGAGCTTCTGTCGTTTTTGCCGGGCAAAGACAAGAATGGTTGGTTGGTCAGGTGACTGCGATGTTCCGTCATTCTCAGTCTTCACTCCACCAGGAGACAAGTGAATCAAGGCCATTCACTCATTGGCCTACAGCCACAGGGGGCCTCGAGTAGGACAATGTTCATGAAATTCCTGCAGACTGATGAGATTTTTCTCAGCAAGAAAATACTATTGAAGCTGCATGGCAATAGCCTCACAAACGAAAAAAAAATACGAGATGGATAAACTGCCGCGATATGGGGAGTTCCTTGGCACCCCTATTGGGCCCTGAACCCCCGTCGCGGTCCCTAGCTAGTTATACCCAAAGAATCAGTAGGGCTCCTCCAACGGATTATTAGTTAGGGGCGGGCGGCTTCTCCCACTGGCATCTCAGCTCTGCCGCAGTCTCACAGCACCAACGACGCCCCTCAGCCTCAGATCCCGACCACGCTCCCTGATCCTCACCCCTATATCTGGCGATGGCCATAAGCAGCTGATTCCATTTCTTTCCATCTCTTTTCTTCTTTTCCGAACAGTGACCGTGTTGAGTCCGAGTCTTATATCCTTCCAGACCGCGTCCTTGCTCTCGTCTCCGCTGCCCTGGTGCCACATCACGATCCACGACTATTCTTTAGTAGGTCTCGCCGGGGCCGTCCCCCGCTCCTCTCCTGCCTGTCGCTAAGCGACACGGGGACGAACCTCCACCAGACCGCCCAGCGTTTAATGTGGACGACTCGTCAGACACAGCCGATATTACTGCTAAGTTAAACGACAGGTGTGCCTTCTGGTGAATTCCTCCCACGCCCTGGAGTTCCTCAGGTATGTCCTGCGCTTTTTCAGCCTCCCTCCCTCTGCCATTGCGCTGGCCTCTTCTCCATGCCTAAACTGCTTCGTGTTCCGGTGCTCTAGCGCGTTCCCTTAACCGTGTCGCATTGGAGCGGTGGCCGTCGCAACTCCTCCAGATCTCCCACCTTTCATCTCACTCAAAACGATGCTCCGTTGAATCTCGATCGTGGGCAGTCAACAAACCACCCGTTCCTGTCTTGCAATAGCTCATATCCGTTATCTGCAGGTCCGATTATAAACAAACGACCCAGTCGTGGTCTTCGACCGTACTCCACTGTTGAGCGGGACTCCCCTCCTCCGATTGTGTGACTCGGTGTTGGTCAGGCCTTCCGAAATATTTGCTAGGTTACTACGGTACATGTGGTCGTCAATCTGCTCGCTACAATGAAAGGATTCAGGCAGAGAGTGGTGAGTGATCCCCTCTCCGTCCATCTGCTTCTCAATCGATGGTTGTGGGCGACATTTTCCCTGCGGCGGAGTGCCTCCCCCCATCTCACCCCCAACAATGACTGTCCGGGGTACGCTAACCTGCTCAGCACGAACAGCTTTCTCGGGCCAAAGACTCGAACAAATCGTCGAAAAAGCGAGATTCGTCAAATAACTCATCGTCCAGCTCGGCGTCTTCCGCCAGCCAGTCCCACCATGCCCAGTCCTCTGCGAGCCCGAACCATCTCACACCGAACTCGTCCACAACTTCGGTAAATGAAATCCGGGGAAAACAGGCCCCTCAAGCAGACAATGCATCAGCGGGAGGGATCAATGCTGCTGCCGTCCATCACAATGCGCAGGGCGCGGTTAATCCTGCTCCAGCCGGACAGCACTATATACCTCAGAACCAGGCCAGTGCGGGTTCCCATGCCGCTGGCCAGGCGGCCAACAACAACAATAACAATAACAACGTCCCTGCGACGCCCACTAGACAAGGACTGCAGCCTGCTCCCCCTAGTGTAGTCATCAGTCCGAGTGGACCGGTATGTTCTCTTGTCTCATGTCTGAGGTTTTTTTTTTCCCTTTACTTCCTCTTCATCGCTAAAGCTATCGTTGCTGCAATCGATACCCTTCTATCGCCTTCACTCGGTCCTGGCCCTGATCCAGCTGACATTCTTTTTATCAGCATGTCCCTCCTCCTGGCGCCGCTGAGACTATGCCTGGGGATCTCGCCCCGCCCAAAAAATCACATGCCTTTGACAGATTGCAGTCGACCCCGAAGGACATGTCCGAGGGTATTAGGACACCGAAGCGACAGCATTCTTCAAGGTTTGACGTTTCAGACCAACGGCATCGGGAATTGGAGAAGCTGCCCGGTTTCCACGAAGTTCCCCCGCACCGCCGTCAAGAACTCTTCATGCAGAAGATTGACCAATGCAACATCATTTTTGACTTCAATGACCCGACTGCCGATATGAAGTCCAAGGAAATCAAGCGGTTGGCGCTGCACGAGCTCCTCGATTATGTAGCCAACAATCGTTCCGTCATCACCGAGCCGATGTATCCTCGTGTTGTCGAGATGTTTGCTAAGAATCTATTCCGTCCAATTCCACCGCCAACCACGCCGCAAGGAGAGGCCTTTGACCCGGAAGAGGACGAACCGGTTTTGGAAGTGGCATGGCCTCATATCCAGGTTGTCTACGAGTTCTTCCTCAGGTTTATTGAGAGCCAGGACTTCAACACCAACATTGCGAAACAGTATATCGATCATCAATTTGTCCTTCAGGTGAGATTTGGCTGTTTTCCTTTCTGCCCCTGTCCCAATAATGGCGTGTTCAGGAACTTACCAATGTCACTAGTTACTCGAACTATTTGACTCGGAAGATCCCAGAGAGCGCGACTTTCTCAAGACAACATTACATCGCATCTACGGCAAGTTTCTTAATCTGCGGTCGTACATACGTCGTTCGATAAACAATGTCTTTTTCCAATTTATCTATGAAACCGAACGCTTTAACGGAATCGCAGAATTGCTGGAAATTCTGGGATCTATTATCAACGGATTTGCTTTACCTTTGAAGGAAGAACACAAGCTGTTTTTGACTCGAGTTTTGATTCCGCTCCACAAAGTGAAGTGCTTGAGCATGTATCATCCGCAGCTGGCCTACTGCATTGTCCAATTCCTGGAGAAAGATTCTGCACTGACCGAAGAGGTGAGTCCGTCCGAGCTCTCGAGTCCGGCACTCGGCAAACTGGCTCACGCCCCGAGCACAGGTCGTTCTGGGACTCCTCCGCTATTGGCCCAAGGTGAATAGCACCAAAGAGGTCATGTTTTTGAATGAAGTCGAGGACATCTTTGAGGTGATGGACCCGGCAGAATTTGTCAAGGTCCAGGAGCCTCTCTTTCAACAGCTAGCGAAATCAGTCGCCAGTCCCCATTTTCAGGTTTGTCGTCGATGCGTATGCCTGATGACGAATCTTTTATGCTAACCATTTCACAGGTCGCAGAGCGTGCCTTGTATTTCTGGAACAACGAATACTTTTGTAACCTGGTTAGCGACAATGTTGAGACGATTTTACCCATTATGTTTGCTCCGCTTTATGAGAACTCTAAGGGTCACTGGAATAGGTATGTCTCGGTAAAGTATTTTCTGGATGGTGCTGATATTGACGATCTGTAGAACCATCCATAGCATGGTGTACAATGCGATGAAACTGTTCATGGAAATTAACCCTCAATTATTCGACGACTGCTCGCAAGCGTATAATGAACGGATGAACAATGCTGAACAGCGTGAAAAGGCGCGACGTGACAAATGGAAATTGTTGGAAGAACAAGCCGAGAAGCGGAAGAAAGGGCTCCTTCCTAGCTCTAGCTCTCAGTCAGGCTCGAGTTCTAACGCGAGTTCCAATGGGAACTCCAGCGCCCCCGCGGACGGTGTCATTGGTCGCGTTGATGAAGTCGACTCACTCACGCAAGACAGTCAGAAGAGGCTGAACGCTCTCAAGCTGCAGGATGAGGCGAGCCCCGTCAAAGAGCGGAGACTGCGCGAATTAGAAAGCCAGAATTCGGTTAGTACCTCATGAGCTTGCATGCTTCCAGGAGCATTCACGTTCTTCCCCATACTTCCCCTTTTCCGTTGAAATCTCTTCCATGTGCTAAGAGACTGTGGTCTGTGTTATTTTAGCAATCGTGATTCTAACCCTGGACGTCCGTTTGATCCAGACACGGCGGCGAGGATCACTTGACGATTCTCGAAGAAGACGAAGCGGTAGTGGCAGCGGGTCTCGGTTGCGTGTAGAACGACGCGGTTCCCTAGGGGGTGGCTCCAGCGCCGTTCCGACCCCTCCACTGTCTCGGAGCAACTCGATCAAGTAATGTCTATGGATACTTTTGACACTGTTTCTACCTGTTTTACGTCTCATATTTCAGTGCCCTGCAATGACATAGCGGCTGTGTGCATCGATCATAGTTATTATTTCCCGACATCTGTCCCTTCTATTTTCTTTTGTTTTGTTGCTGTTCGATAGCGTCAGCCCCTGTCGTCTTCCCTTTTTTTCCCCCTCTCCTCTTTTTTCCATGTACATGGTTTCCCCATAACTTCTCTGCGGTCCATGCGAGGCTCTTGGACCTGCGGTCATCTTGAGCACACATTTGAGTTGGACTCTGTTTTAGACACTTGTTCGGGTATGGAAAATGGGTGTGACTGGCGTTAATGTCCGTGGTCCTAGATGCCAATGGACCTTTTTTTTCTTTTTGATTAAGTTACTACTACTAAGTCACTTAAATCATCATAAGGTCTTGCTCTCTTCACTAGATCCTACCTAAGGTGCTGCTGTTCAGGGCCCTGGCTGGATGTCGGCTGTAATAAACGTATATGATTGGCTGGCGCTTGTCACTGCCGCCATAGACGCTGACGGGATTGGCGCGCGTCTACCGGAACGGGTTAACGTTTATACCGCAAAATTGCCTATTTAGGACTAGCCGCTCTGTTCAGGGTCTCTGGGATGCCCGCGTTCACCCAACTCTTGTGCTCTGCAGTGGTTTCCTGCGGCCCAGACGTGAATCTCTCGCGCGCCATCACGGCGATTGTCTCGTCTCGCCTTCACACAATTGCGTCAACGTCCTGTGAATTAAGATTCCCAGGATCCCACTCGTTTTAATATTTACTTTGACGACGAGACCTTTTATGTTTTTACTGATTTAAACCCTCCTTCCCTAGTCGCCGTGTTTACTCCATCTGCGACGGCTCGCATCTTTCCAGGCTCCTTGGACAAGTCGCTTTTTTTCTTCGCATGTGAATCACGACTGAGTAGAGGGTGTTGGTACCTCTAAACAGGGCCGGCCTGACGGCCTGGCAGTCAGTCGATCAGCAAATCTTCTAGGGATCTGTTTCTTAAATTCTCGGTGTGGTTACTCGCAAGCAAGCGGTCGCAACCATGGAGCGAAACATTGATATCTACGCCGAGAGGCTGAGCGACGAGAAGCTTGGTAAGACTCTTCGCGTCACCATTATCGCGACTGGCTTCATTAATACATATCAAACAACTTGTTGATCGCGAAACTTTTAATGGGTGATTACTTTGCTGACTTCATTTTTAATGTTCAGATGTCAGGACCAAGGCCAATGTCGCGGTCGAGCTAAGGGACAATATCGAACCTCTATGCTCGGGTTCGAATTACCCGACCTTCCTGGCAAAGCTATGGCCTGTTTTCAAAAATATTTTGAAGGGGGATCCGGTGTTCACGAATATGTCCTATGAGCAGGTAGGTGACGGTACTTTCAGCATCTTGATGACTGGGCTGGGCTAAATGCGTCTTTGGTGATTTAGAAATTACGAAACTGCCTCTTAGAGACGTTACACCGGTTACCCATGGCCTCCCCCGACGTCGAGCCCTATGCCGTTGACATGGTGGACATGCTGATGCAGCTCGTGCGGGTTGAGAACGAGGAAAACGCCGTGCTTTGCATGAAAACCATCATGGATTTGGCGCGGAATCAGGTCAAGGCGACCGCCTCCAGGGTCCAGCCGTTCTTAGAGCTTATCCAGGAAATGTTCCAGACGATGGAACAGGTTGTCCGCGACACCTTTGATACGCCCTCCCAGGGTGCCACTCCCGGAATGCCGTCGACGCCTGGGGGCAGCTCGCAAAATTTCCAGTCCCCCAGGCCCAGCTCTCCAACTGCGTCTGTCTCAGATTTAGGGCCCGACCAACAGGCGAACCATCATCTGCAGAGGGGTATGCAGTCATTTAAGGTTCTGGCGGAATGCCCTATCATTGTTGTCTCCATCTTTCAGGCGCACCGCAACTCCGTCTCGGCTAATGTGAAACTCTTTGTTCCTTTGATCAAAAGCATCTTACTTTTGCAAGCCAAGCCACAGGAGAGGGCCCATGCCGAGGCTGCGGCACGGGGGGAAATATTCACCGGTGTTTGCAAGGAAATAAAGAATCGGGCTGCCTTCGGAGAGTTCATCACAGCTCAAGTTAAGACAATGAGCTTTCTTGCTTATCTTCTGCGGATGTACGCCCACCAGCTGCAGGACTTTCTTCCAACCTTGCCTAGTGTCGTCGTCCGCCTCTTGCAAGACTGTCCTAGGGAGAAATCCAGTGCGAGGAAAGAGCTTCTCGTGGCGATCCGGCACATCATTAACTTCAACTATCGCAAGATCTTTCTGGAGAAGATCGACGAGCTTCTGGACGAGAGGACTCTGATCGGGGACGGCCTTACAGTCTATGAGACTATGAGGCCGCTCGCTTACAGCATGCTTGCGGATTTGATTCACCATGTGCGCGATCATCTCAACCGTGATCAGATTCGGCGGACGGTGGAAGTCTATACAAAGAATCTCCATGATGATTTTCCGGGCACGAGCTTCCAGACGATGAGCGCCAAGTTATTGCTGAACATGGCGGAGAAGATATCGAAGCTTGAAGACAAGCAGGAAGCCCGCTATTTCTTGATCATGATCCTGGATGCTATTGGTGACAAATTTGCCGCTATGAACCACCAGTTCGACAACGCGGTGAAGGTGTCCCGAGCATACCGCAAACGTAATGCTGACTCTGCCCCGGAAAACTATCTCGCCGACAAGGAGAATCCTCCGGACTGGGATGAAATTGATATTTTCTCGGCCGTTCCTATCAAGACGTCGAACCCTCGGGATCGCGGCGGTGATCCTGTGTCTGACAATCTCTTCCTCTTCAAAAACTTGATCAATGGCCTGAAGAACATTTTCCACCAGCTGAAGAATTGTAATCCGACGCACATTCAGATTGATCCCAGCAACGTCCCAATCAACTGGTCGGAGGTCTCCTATGGCTATAATGCTGAAGAGGTTAAGGTGATCAAGAAACTCTTCCACGAAGGTGCTCGCGTGTTCAGATACTATGGTGTCGATCAGCCACAGCCTGAAGTCCAATATTCCTCGCCGTTCGAGTTCCTTGCCAGCCAGTATACTGCGCCGATGACAAGGGAGGAGAAGGAGCTCCTTGAGAGCTTCGGAACTGTGTTTCACTGTATAGACACCGCAACTTTCCACGAGGTCTTCCACTGTGAGATCCCATATCTCCATGAGCTCATGCTTGAGCATGGTGCCCTCCTCCATCTGCCGCAGTTTTTCCTCGCGAGCGAAGCTACGTCACCGGCGTTTTCTGGCATGGTTCTTCAGTACCTCATGGACCGCATCCACGAAGTTGGAACTTCTGATATGACGAAGGCAAAAATTCTCCTGAGGATGTTCAAGCTCTCGTTCATGGCCGTGACGCTCTTCTCGGTGCAGAACGAGCAGGTTCTGCATCCCCACATCACCAAGATTGTCACGAAATGCATCGAACTTTCCGTGACAGCCGAAGAGCCGATGAATTACTTCCTCTTGCTGCGCTCGCTCTTCCGCAGTATTGGTGGAGGGAGATTTGAGCTGCTGTACAAGGAGTTGCTTCCCCTTCTGGAGATGCTTCTGGAGACATTTAACAACCTCTTGATGAGCGCGCGCAAACCACAGGAGCGAGACCTTTATGTCGAGCTGACGCTTACTGTTCCCGCTCGTCTAAGTCATCTGCTCCCCCATCTCAGCTACTTGATGCGGCCGATCGTGGTTGCGCTCCGTGCGGATTCAGATCTGGTCGGCCAGGGCCTTAGAACCCTTGAACTCTGTGTCGACAATTTGACAGCCGATTATCTGGATCCTATAATGGCTCCGATCATGGACGAGCTCATGACAGCGCTGTGGGATCATCTGCGACCACACCCATACAGCCATTTCCATTCTCATACCACCATGAGAATCCTCGGCAAGCTGGGCGGTCGCAACCGGAAATTCCTGAATCACCCCCCGGAGCTGTCATTCCAGCAGTTCGCGGATGATGTCCCGAGTGTAGACATCCGACTGATCGGACCCAATGAAAAACGACCGTTTCCTATCGACATCGGAGTCGACCTCGCCTACGGGAAGCTGTTGGAGGTTCCAAAGACGCCTGCAGCAAAGGCCTCGGATGGATACTATAAGCAGCAGGCCTATCGTATGCTCAGCTCGCAACTGAAGCTCTACATCGGCTTTGAAAACCTTCCAGAGGACATGGGATCTCTTCTTCGCCTTCAAGCCGAAGATCTGCTGGAGGGCAAGATTCAGACTCCTATTGACATCATGGATAAGTCTGAGCGATCCAGTTCGATTCAGAAGAAGCTGTCGCAAGAAGAGACCCTCAAGAAGCTCTTGAAGGCGTGCTTCTATGCGACGACGATCCCGGACCTCGAACAGACTGCTACCCCCTTCGTCGCGGATGTATGCCGACACTTTGCGGTCGTTGAGGTGGGTCGAGCGTACGCTCAAGTAAGGCACACTCGGAAATCCTTCGATGTCTCCAGTGGTGAAGGCCCTGTCTACTTGGATTCGCGTGTTCTCGCCGAGGTGATTGTTGACTGTTTCTCGTCGGACAACCCTCGTGTACGGGATGCAGCTAAGCGGGGATGGAAGTTATGAAGGAGGCAGCTAGTATCATTTTCGGGGGCCCTGACAAGGCTTCCAAGTTGCCTTTCTTCCAGCATCTCGGTCGGGTATTCTGCCATAGCTGCCACAGCGAAGAATGGTTCACGAAGGCCGGTGGCAGCCTTGGAATACAGCTGCTAGCGACCGATCTCGATCTCGGCGATTCTTGGCTCTTCGAGAGGCAAACGGAGTTTGTTCGGGCCTTGATGTATGTCATCAAGGACACTCCTTCCGATCTCCCGGCCAGTACCCGTATCCGGGCGCAAGAAACTCTCGATCTCATTCTTCGGCGATGTAATAAGGGTGTCTCGAAAGAGGACCTTAAGAATGAGAAGAGTCGGCTCTATACTCTCTGTGGATTCTTCATTTATGAACTTTCACACATGAACAAGCATGTCCGGGAAGCCTCTCAAAGGAGTTTCCATACTCTCGCCGAGGTGATTGGCTGTGAAGTCCATGAGCTCATGTTTCCGGTCAAGGAACGTCTGCTGCAGTCGATCTTCAACAAGCCTTTGCGCGCGCTGCCGTTTCCCATTCAGATCGGGTTTATCGAGGCGATCACTTTCTGCCTGAGTCTTCACAAGAACATCGTCGTTTTCAACGATCCGCTGAACCGATTGATGCTGGAGTCGCTGGCTCTTGCTGATGCTGACGACGAGTCTCTAGCGTCCAAGCCCAATGAGTATAAGAACGCAGAGATGATCGTCAACTTGCGAGTGGCCTGCCTCCGCCTTCTTTCTATGGCAATGGGCTTCCAGGAATTTGCGAACACTCCGCAGAATACCAGCCGTGCTCGCATCATTTCGGTGTTCTTCAAGTCTCTGTATTCGAGATCGCCCGAAATCATCGAAGCGGCCAATGCCGGTCTCAGAGATGTACTCACCCAGACCAACAAGCTGCCCAAGGATCTTCTTCAGAATGGCCTCCGTCCGATTCTGATGAACTTGCAAGACCCGAAACGGCTGAGCGTTGCTGGGCTTGATGGACTTGCCAGGCTCCTGACCCTTCTGACGAACTACTTCAAGGTCGAGATCGGTGCTCGGCTCTTAGATCATATGAAGATGATCGCTGATGACGCCACCTTGCAAAAGGTGTCGTTTAATCTCGTCGAGCAGAATCCGGTTATGAAGATTGTAGCGGCCATCTTCAATATTTTCCATCTTCTTCCCCCGGCAGCTACGACTTTTATGGAACACCTCGTCAACAAAGTCTTGGACCTAGAGGAGAAGTTGCGCAGAACTTCGAACAGCCCGTTCAGAAAGCCTCTTGTGAAGTATCTCAACCGCTACCCGAAGGAAAGCTGGGCTTTCTTCCAGCAGCGCTTCAACGATGAGCGATATGGCCGCTTCTTCGGTCAGGTGTTGGCAGATCCTGAGAGTGGGGTGCTGCGGTCAGCTGTGGTTGCCGACACTGAAGGGTTTAAGTCTGTCGCCTTCCCTCAGGAGCAATCGGATGGCAGGAATACTGCTGCAATCAATGCAATCTACGTCGTCCATTCGATCTGCACGCATGAGCAGACCAAGCGATGGCTTGTCTCTCATGGGGACTTGAAGTCTCTGCTTTTAAGCGCCGGACGGGATCTAGAGATCAAGCTTCGGAGTGACAAACTGCCAGCTAATGAGCGTTTGAGGGTAGAACAGGCCGAAGACCAGCTGATGGATATTTTCACGATCTACCTTTCGGAGTCTCCACAGGATTTGGATTTCCTCTTCGAGGTCATGGCTGCTCTGTCCGCCGAGGAGTTGAAACGGACTCTTGCGTTCCCCAAGTTCATTTACAAACATATCATTACAAATGAATCCATCGACTACAGGCGGTCCGTTATCATGCGCTGCCTGGATCTTTATGGTCAGCGCAATTGTTCGCAGAAGATGAAGACGTTTGCTTTCCATTACCTGGTCAATCCTATCTTTGCGATGGATGTCAAGACAACGTGGAAGAGCCCGCCGAACACTCCGAAGCTCATGGATAAGAGCATGACGGAAGCCATACAAAGCCGACTGTGGAGGCCACAGGTGGGCGATATCGCTGAAGAGTCCAATCAGCCTGGTGTCGACCATTCCCGGATGGAGTTGCTACAGCTCTCAGCCTTGCTGATCAAGTACCACCACCAGACTGTCCAGGAGTCACGAAAGGACATCATCAAATTCGCCTGGAACTACATTCGCCTGGAGGACATTATCAACAAATACGGCGCATATGTGCTGATCAGTTACTTTATCGCACACTACGAAACGCCGTTCAAGATTGTGGTCCAGGTCTATGTTGCTCTGTTGAGGGCGCATCAGAACGAGGGTAAAGCTCTTGTCACCCAGGCTCTCGATGTCTTGGCTCCTGTTCTGCCTACGAGGATCATCGCCGGTAGCAACAACAATCAGCAGGCGACCGATGCTCGGTATCCATTGTGGGCGAAATGGCCTCGACGGATTTTGGCAGAAGAGACAGCGAACCTGCAGCAGGTCATGAGCATCTTCCAATTCCTTGTGCGGCAGCCCGATCTTTTCTACGAGTCGAGAGAGCATTTCGTGCCTCTGATTGTGCCGTCCTTGATCAAGATAGCGGCTCCTCCGAATCCTTCTAATGAGAGCAAGAAGCTTGCACTCAATCTCATTGGACTCATCTGGCACTGGGAGGAAAAGAGGGTCCGTGGTGGCAGTGGTTCTGGAAACACGGCGAGTGGTGCACCAGAGTCTCCCAATCTAAGGAAACGGAAGTTTGACGAACTCCAAGCCTCGTCCGGGTCCCCCGCCGCTCTGGCACCTCCAATGGCGCGCGAGAGGTCAGAGTACATGGTTCCTCTTGACTTGCGGGCCGCGTTGATTAAGTATCTCATCACGTTTATAACCACTGTTCCTGAGCGGTTCCCTGTCCCAGCTTTCAAACTTCGGGAACTCCCGTCTTCGAAGCCTCAACCGCCCGTCGCCACTGGAGAGATGATTAAGAAGGCAGTTCAGCTCTTGAGAAATCTGCTTCAGCCGGAGTTTTGGGGCGATCTGGACGTCGACCTCTATCCTAAAGTCACAGAGCCCATTCTTACCGGAGAGAAGGCTGAAAAGCCGGATGAGAAGCACATTACAAGCATGATTAATACGTTGCAGGTGCTGCGTGTTCTCCTTGCAGCGAAGCCGGATGACTGGATCGTCAATCGGTTGCCGTTGATTCAGAAGCTTTTCGAAAAGGCTCTGCGCTCGGATAATCCCGAAATCCAGGACTGCCTTCACGGGGTGGAAGACGAGATGGACATCTCGCCGAAGTTGCCGCCTCCCGTCAAGCGTGTTCTTGATGCGCTACCTGAAGAGCAGCCCGAGGAAGAGGACGCCATGGATGTGGACAGCTCGCCGTCAGAGTTCGTCACGTATCTGTCCGCAATAGCCACTGAGGGACTGTCAGCGAACAATTACATCTCAAGCCTGAACATTTTGTGGACGCTGTCCAAGAACAGGCCGGCCGAGATGGATGCCCACATCCTTCAAGTGATGAAGGCATTCTCGCAAAAACTGGCCAAGGAGCACGTGGCTGCTTACGCCAATAACCAAGTCCCTGGCCAGTATCCGCCCGGCGTTAAACCAAGCGAAGGTGGTCTGCCGGATCAACAGGAATTCGAGCTTGGCGTTGATCTTATCCTCAAGACCATTGACCTGATATCAGTGCGCATGTCCCATCTTGGTGAACAAAGACGGCCGTTCTTGAGCGTCCTGGCGCAGCTGGTGGAACGCTCGCACAATATCAAGCTTTGCAGCAAGATTCTGGGCATGGTCGAACATTGGATCTTTCACTCTACGGAGTCTTGGCCTACGCTGAAGGAGAAAACTGCCGTGTTGCATAAGATGCTCCTCTTCGAGTCTCGACCAGATCAAACAATGCTAAAGAAATTCTTGAATCTGGTCATCAGGATCTACGAGGATCCGAAGATCACGCGCACTGAGCTAACCGTGAGGTTGGAGCATGCCTTTTTGATCGGCACACGAGCACAGGATGTCGAGATGCGGAACCGTTTCCTCACCATATTCGATCGGAGTCTGACGCGGACGGCTAGCTCTCGACTCAGCTACGTTCTGACATCGCAGAATTGGGACACGCTCGCCGATTCGTTCTGGTTAGCTCAGGCATCGCATCTGGTAATGGGCTCTGTCGACATGACGACTCCTGCCCGACTGCACCCGGAGGACTTCACCGTTTATCCTCTGTCATTCCTCTTCAGCGCAGTGGAGAAGGATCCGAGAAAGGGGGATGTCATGGTTGATGATCAGCTGGAGGCTTTCATTGCTGATCGCAAGCGCTTTATGGCCGAAATAGGAGACGTTAAAACCCGAGACTTGATGGAGCCTCTTTGCCAGCTGCAGCACACGGATCCCAAGGTTGCGTACAAGCTGTGGACCACCTTGTTTACTATTATCTGGTCCACCCTTTCGAGGGAAGAGCGTATAGACCTCGAAAAAGGGATGGTAACCTTGGTTACACGCGAGTACCATCATAGACAGATCGACAGACGGCCGAATGTTGTCCAGGCTCTTCTCGAGGGTGCTGTTAGGGCCAGACCGCGCTTTAAAGTTCCCCCGCATGTCATGAAGTACTTGAGCCGTACTTATGACGCTTGGTATACAACCGCTGCCTATCTCGAAGAGTCGGCAAATAGCCCAATCATCGACACTCCTGTCGTCCGTGAGAGCAACTTGGACGCGCTGGTCGAAGTATTTGCCGGACTGCAGGAAGATGATTTCTTCTATGGTACTTGGCGACGGCGTTGCAAGTTTGTTGAGACCAACGCCGCACTTTCGTACGAACAACACGGCATGTGGGACAAGGCTCAGCAGTTGTATGAGAGTGCTCAAATCAAGGCTCGCTCCGGCGCTATGCCATTCTCTCAGGGTGAATACTTCCTGTGGGAAGATCACTGGCTCATCTGTGCCCAGAAATTGCAACAATGGGAGATCTTGAGCGACTTTGCCAAGCATGAAAACCTCAACGACCTTCTCTTGGAGGCTGCGTGGAGGAATATCGAAAACTGGCAAAGCGAGTCGAACCGCGAGCAATTGGAGTCTTTGATCAAATCCGTGTCTGACGCGCCAACCCCGAGACGGACCTTCTTCCAGGCGTTCATGGCGCTCCTGAATTTCCATTTGAAAAAGGAAGGTATCCAGGAGTTCAACAACATTTGCGATGAGTCTATTCAGCTCTCCATTCGCAAGTGGCATCAGCTGCCGAAGAGGATCACCAATGCCCACATCCCGATCTTGCAGCACTTCCAGCAACTCGTTGAGCTGCACGATGCCAGTGTTATTTGTGCAAGCTTATCCCAGACGAACGAGAGGAATCTCGACACGAAGTCCGCAGAGCTCAAACTTCTTCTGGGTACCTGGCGTGACCGTCTTCCAAATGTTTGGGATGATATCAATGCCTGGCAGGATCTGGTGACGTGGCGGCAGCACATCTTCCAACTAATTAACGCGACGTATCTCAGTCTGTTGCCACCTCAGACGAACAACGTCGCCAGCAACTCCTATGCTTACCGCGGATACCATGAAACCGCCTGGATCATCAATCGCTTCGCGCACGTAGCTCGCAAGCACCAGATGCCTGAGGTCTGCATCAACCAGCTCAGCCGCATCTACACGCTGCCGAACATTGAGATCCAGGAAGCCTTCTTGAAGCTGAGGGAGCAGGCCAAATGCCATTATCAGAACCCCAAGGAACTCAACAGCGGTCTCGACGTTATCAACAATACCAACCTGAACTACTTCGGAGCTCAGCAGAAGGCCGAATTCTACACTCTCAAGGGCATGTTCTTGGCTAAATTAAACCAGGTCAACGAAGCCAACGAGGCCTTTGGGGTGGCGCTTTACTACGACCTCCGACTGGCCAAAGCCTGGGCTGAATGGGGCCAATACAGCGACCAGCGCTTCAAGGCTGACCCGACCGACTACGAACTGGCCAGCAACGCTGTGAGCTGCTATCTCGAGGCGGCCGGCCTTTACAAGAATTCCAAGTCAAGGAAACTGCTCAGTCGCATCCTTTGGTTGCTGAGCTTGGACAACGAGGAAGGCCGCATTGCCAGTGCGTTCGAGAATTTCAAAGGCGACACCCCGGTGTGGTACTGGATCACCTTTATCCCGCAGCTGCTCACGAGTCTATCTCATCGCGAGGCGCGTCTCTGCAAGGCGGTGCTCGTCAAGATCGCCAAGCTGTATCCTCAGGCGCTATTCTTCCTGCTGCGGACGAACCGGGAGGACATGCTCAGTATCAAGAAGCAGCATGACCAAAAGCAGGAGAAACTTAACCGGGCCAAGCAACAACAACAGCAGCAGCAGCAGCAACAAGCCTCGCCGAATCCGAAGGCCGACTCGGCGGCTCAGGCTGGATCCAGACCTGGAACGTCGACTGGGGAAGCAACGCCAGCGCAGAATCAGCAGGCCACGAGCAACAATGTCAATGGTTCGTCGCAAGATGCGAACGCACAGCCCGCGCAGCAGCAGTCCAATGGCCAAGCCAACGGACAGGCGCAGACGCAAAATCAGGCCCAGGCCCAGGCTCAGGCCCAGTCTCAGGCCCAAGCGCAAAGCCAAGCTCAGGCTCAGGGTCAAGCCCAGGCTCAAGGTCAGGCTCAGGCTCAGAACCAGGCTCAGACCCAGGCTCAGACTCAGCCCCCAGCGCAGGCCCCAACGCAGGCTCCGGCACAGGGACCGGCACAAGGCCAAACTCAAGCACAAGGCCAGGCTCAAGCTCAACCTCAAGCTCAACCTCAGCCTCAAGCTCAGGGACAAGGCCAGCAGACCACGGGCGAACAGGAGCAGCCGCAGAGGGAGCCTCTCAAGAAGCCATGGGAGTATTCCGAAGAAATCATGGCTGGTCTCAAAACCGCATTCCCTTTGCTGGCTCTGTCGATGGAAACTATGGTCGACCAGATCCACAAGAACTTCAAGTGTCCGCCTGACGAGGATGCTTATCGACTCATTGTCGCTCTGCTCAACGATGGCCTTGCATACGTCGGCCGCATGCCGGGCTCGTACGCTCAGGACTTCAAGCTCCCACCAGCCACAGAAGCCAACATCACTCGGTTTGCGGAGACCATTCTCCCTGGACATATCCGCAAGTCCTTCGAGGCGGACTTTGTGGTCAAGAAACCCACGATGTATGAGTACATCCAGAAGCTGCGCAAATGGCGGGATAAGTTTGAAGAGAAGCTTGACCGTCGCCCTCAGTCCCAGTTCCTCGAGGTGTACTCACCACATCTGAGCGAGTTCCGTTTCCTCAAGTTCGACGAAGTCGAGGTTCCTGGGCAGTATCTGTTGCACAAGGACAAGAACCAGGACTTTGTGCGCATCGATCGTTTCTTGCCTGACGTCGATCTTGTTCGTGGAATTGGCGTCTGCCACCGTCGGCTGAAGATCCGGGGCCATGACGGCAGCATCCATCCATTTGCTGTACAGCACCCGGCTGCCCGTCACTGCAGGCGTGAGGAGCGCATTCTGCAACTCTTCCGTATCTTCAATGGTATTCTCGCCAAGCGGAAGGAGAGCAGACGTCGCAACTTGTACTTCCACCTTCCTCTTATGATCCCTCTGGCGCCGCACATTCGTCTGGTTAAGGATGATCCTTCGTATATCTCTCTGCAAGGCATCTACGAAGATTACTGCAGACGAGTGGGCATGAACAAGGATGAGCCAGTGCTCTTTACGATGGAGAAGATGAGGTCCCTGGCGGAGATGAAACAGAACGTGAGTAATAGTAGGAGTTTGTCTCAGGATGTTAGATGCTAACTGTCGGCAGCGCACTATTGAGCAGCAGCAGGTTCTCCGCACCGAGATCCTCACGGCTATCCAGGAGAAATGGGTCCCAAACAATATCGTGCTGGATTATTTCCAGCAGACGTACCCCAGTTACGACGACTTCTGGCTGTTCCGGCGCCAGTTCTCGTATCAGTATGCGGCGATTGCATTCATGACCTACGTGATGCACATGGGCAATCGGTACCCGAACAAGATCTTGATTTCGCGGGCCACGGGCGATATCTGGGGATCCGAGCTTATTCCGACCATCAATCCGGCCAAGGCGTTCTTCTACAACCCCGAGCAGGTGCCGTTCCGGCTCACGCCTAACATCCAGACATTGATGGGGCCCATCGCAATGGAAGGTGTCTTTGCCTGCTCGCTGATGGCCATCGCTCGCTGCCTGACGGAGCCGCGACACGAGCTGGAGCAACAGCTGAGCATCTTCGTGCGCGACGAGATGATGTTCTGGGCGACGGCGCAGCACCGCGGGGCGCTGCCGGAACACCAGCTCCGCGAGCTCGTCCAGAACAACACCGACATTATCGTCAACCGAGCCGTCAGCCTGGCCAGTCCACCGGAAGGCAACCTTCCCGCGAACCAGACGACCATCGACCTGGTCTCGAGGGCAGTCAACCCGCAATATCTGGCAGCGGCCGATGCTCTCTGGATGCCGTATCTGTGAGGATGGAATTTTTTTTTCCCTCTTCTTTCTGGCGTTGGTTGGGGATTTCTGGTGCTTGTTGTCTGCGGTGCGCAATCAATTGCGTTCGTTCATCTCTGTCAGTTAGTCACATATTTTTTTTTCTCTTTTTCACCCTTCTTCTCCGAGAAAATGGCATGGCGTTTATTTGTTACGGTATGGCATGGGGCTTGGACAAGGTGATGATGAATTTCTAATTAATTAATGATACGGTCGGGATGGATGGTTTATCACAAAAAAATGTTTTTTTATTTTAGTTCTGTTTTGATTCTGTTTCCGTTGCTGCTGTTGTTATTTCATGGGAGTTCTGCGTTCATTGAATTCAATTCAATTCAATTTAAGAAGCTATGTACTATGCACTACAGTATGTATGTATGTATGATAATGGGAATGAAAAAAAAATCATCCTGATCATCCCAAACATCAATTAATTCATTACATGCACAAATAAAAGTCTATATACAACCAATCAAACTTAAGCATGTCATGCTGTTCGTAAAAACCGGTCCCTCTTAATAAGTAATAGACAAATCAAATAAACAAGTCCCTTTAGCCGTAATTATAACGCCTCGTCGCCTTTATGGGAAAAAAAAAGTACACTATGGAGGATGGATGGTCGGATATGAAACGAGTTCATCACACGAGAGAGGGTTTTTTCTTGATGCCCAACCCGGCATCGAATGGTTTCTTGGGCTTCTTGACCCGGGCGAAGGACGGCGGCGGCGCTGTCTCCTTGGCGGCTGCTGTCCCGCCGTCAGCCTCGTCGTCGACCAGCCGCTTCACTTTCTCGCCTGCGGCGGTCATGAACGCCCTCCGCGCGGCCTCCTCGTCCTCCTGCTCTTCTCTCCGACGGGCCTCTTCAGCCTCGTCCCGGACGTGGGACAGGGCGACCTCCTCGCCGCGGGCCTCGCTGCGCTCGATGCGGGCGTTCCTCGTGCGGATCTCGTCCAGGGCGTCGGCGATGGCCATCTCGCGCTTGGAGTCGAGCATCTTCTCCTCCAGCTCGGCCATCTTGTCGCGCTCCATTTGCTCGCGCTCCTCGTTCTCCTCGCGCTCGAGCCGGTTGAGGATCTCCTCCTCCGTCTCGTGCTGGTTGTCTGGCTTGTTCTCGCGCCAGGGCTCGAAGTTGCGTTTTGCGCCCCGCTCGCAGACGTAATCCATATTCTTGGGGTCCGTTTTGAATGTAATCTCGCCGCTGCATCGCGTGCAGCGGATGTAGAAACGGTAGATGGGGATCGTGAGGTATTTCTCGTCTGTCGTTTCCTTGCGCGCGTTGAATTTCCGCCCTCTGGAGAACCGCGGTTAGCCAGCTTCCTCTGCTGACTCGAACGTGTGTACACTTACTTATAAATATATTCGCCGCACCGCTCGCAGCGCATCGAGAAGGGTGCCATAAGTCGGACCGTCTGTAGCTTGGGACCGCTTGGGCGGAGGTGCTTGGGAACGCGCTGTGAGGTGTTAGTTGGCACATTTCATGCTCAGGAAACGAAAGGAATAATACAACATACCTTAATCGCAGACGGATCGAAGTCGGGAGGGTAGTACTTGGCTGTTTAAAGTGGTTAGCAACTGTCTTTTTCCAGGTTGAATTCTGTCCAGGAAGAACATACTGAGGACTTTGCGCTCCGACATGGTGGGTGAGGTGGTTGAGGATGATTATCAGGGTTTCCTTTTTTTTTTATGAATCTGTTAAAAAGGCCGTCTGAACAACGGCAGAGGTCGTAGAATAGAGAAGCAGCTGTGATCCAGTCGCCTTGGTGATGGTGGTGGTATTGTCGTTGTCGTTGCCGTTGATAATAATGGTGGCGGAGGCGGGATATCGGAGATCAGCCTTGGTTTCCCGATGCGGTAGCGCGCCCGCACGGACCAATCGGAGGAGTCTGCGGAAGTTGATTACTGTACTCTGTACAGAGTACTTAAAATACTTCTGTACAGTGTACAGAGTAGACAGATGTGAATTTACTAGATTGACAGATCAAACTAAATGCAGGTTATTGGTAATTCTATTTGTCTGATATTGATCTTGTGGTTTGCCATACAGATAAGATAGCAATGAAAGAAAGCAGGAGCAAACATGGAACGAAGGAAGCGACCAAAACAATCCAACCTACAAATTAACTGATGATTGTGCTCTAAATAATGATCTTTAGGTTTCCTTATTTCCTCATTCTTCTACACGAGGAATTTGTCATTCCAGTAGAGTTTGATCGGATATAGTATATTATTTGCCAAAATGGTCGGCAAGAGCCGGTATATAACGGTCTCTTCCAAACAAAAACGTTCGTCTCTTGAAAGATGCCGCTGTTTTGCCCTCTCATCTGAATGCGATGTGCCCACATCAACCAATATTGGACGGAAACTTCCGACAGGTTTCAAATTCAGCGATAATGACGGACATATAAAGGCCTTGATGGCTGCCATCGATGGCCAGGTCCCTAACAGACACTCCTACACCCAACAGTGACACACTTCGATTGTTGAACTTCAAGACATCTCGATCGCTCTACTCTGACAACCTTACGAAGCAATATGTGCCATTTCGAGGTCGTCGACTACCGCTGCGGCCACCAGGTCCGAGAGCCCCGAGACTGCATGCGTGTACACACATGCGACACCCTGGAACCGGACAGATACGTGACTTCATCTAGACTCTGCTCGAAGTGCGAGGAACCTCGGCAGGAAGACCCATACAAGAAGAGCGTATCGATTAAGGACACCTGGTGGTGGAAGGCCAAACACTCCACCAAGGACGGCTACTAGAGCATGTATGTGGCGATCTCAACTGTAACCTCAGCAGGGACCACTCGCTAAGTTTGCAGAACCAATGCTGCAGGATCGAGATTTGGATCAGAACGGACATGGAAGGGAGCGTTTCGGGTTCCTAGAAGTATCCGGATCAGTTGGCACAGACTACATTTGGCAGATCAGCAATTGAATCCTCAGTGAGCCTAGATCTTTTCACCTGACTCGTAGTGTCCATAATTATGGTACATGAGTAGTATTCTTCGTCATTGCGTGTACATTGAATGTATTTGGAGATCACTCGTAGAGACAATGTCACAACTCGTGGATGTTGTGAGGATTGAAGCTAGTTGAAGCTGTCCTGCTGTCGGGATGCCGAGTCCAGGCGGACGCTTGGGCCACTCACCGCCGCCAAAGTCATGCCGCGTCGCGCCTGCGAAAGGCTCACCAGAAGAATAAGAAATAAGTCATTGTCCTTGTCTCCCACCACACCAGCATGAATTGCTTCTGAAGACCAGCGATACCGTCTCCCATTCTGTCGCCTGATGATCGATTGCACCCGACACAGTCTCTCCAGTCGATGACCGTTCCCCGCGTGGCGCTTGACAGCTAGTAAACATGGAGAAGTTCCTGCGCAACTGGCGCCAGGATGCGCTGAATCGCGGTCAGCATGACGCTGCCATCTACATCGGCGACAAGGTGCTGGCTCTGACCAGTGAGTTTCTCTACCCCGTCTTTGTTCTCCCTCTCTAATCTGGTGCGTCGTCCGCAGACAGCGACGCCGATGCGTTCTGGCTGGCCCAGGTCCACTTCAACAACAACAACTACACGCGCGCCCTGGCTCTGCTGTCTCGCAAAGACCTGATCTCGCGAAGCACCTCGTGCAAGTACCTGGCCGCCCACTGCTACATCAAGCAGAACAAGTTCGACGCCGCCTTGTCCATCCTGGGCGAGCAGAACCCCACCCATCTGATCAGCAGCGCCGGCCACGCCCGCCGAAAGCTGCAGCATCTGAACGGACACAGCCATGTCACCCTCCGCAATGGCAAGACGACGGCTTCCCGGTCTGATCGCGTCGACCGAAGCGAGGAGCGCGAACGGGAGGACGCCAACAACATCCGCTTCGAGGCCGCCATGTGCTACCTGCGCGGGCTCTGCTACGCCAAACAAAACGCCTTCGATCGCGCACGCGACTGCTACAAGGACGCTGTCCGGATTGACGTCCAGTGTTTTGAAGCGTTTGACCAACTCATGAAGAACTCGCTCATGTCCCCCGCCGAGGAACTCGAGTTTCTGGAGTCGCTGGACTTTGACTCGATCACCGTGCCAAACGACCCGTCCGTGTCGCAAGAGGCCGCCCATTTCGTTAAGATGCTGTATACCACTCGTCTCTCCAAATACTCCTCTCCCTCCGCCCTCTCCGACGCGACCGAAACCCTTTCGACCCACTACAACCTAGCGAATAATCCAGACATCCTGCTCTCGCGCGCCGAGGCTCTCTACACTCAATGCCGATTTCATGAAGCTCTCGAACTCACTTCCTCCATTCTCTCCTCCCCAGAGTCCGGAGCTGTCTTGTCGTCATCCCCCGGTCACCAGGTACAGAATCTGGGACATTCCCCTGCCGTCTACCCGCTTCACCTCGCTTGTCTCTACGAGACCGGCCAGACAAATGCTCTGTTTTTGTTGGCACATACTCTGGCCGATAACGCGCCGGAAGAATCCTACAGCTATCTGGCGATTGGAGTCTACTACCTCTCTGTAGCCAAAATCGCTGAAGCCCGTCGTTTCTTCTCCAAGGCTTCTCTTCTCGATCCGCATTCGGCACCCGCCTGGATTGGTTTTGCTCATACTTTCGCTGCTGAGGGTGAGCATGACCAGGCTATTGCGGCGTACAGCACTGCTGCTCGATTGTTCCAGGGCAGTCATCTCCCGCAGTTGTTCCTGGGCATGCAGCATCTGGCTTTGAATAATATGTCCCTGGCTCACGAGTATTTATCTGCGGCTTACGCCATGTCGTCCGGTTCGCCTTCCGGGTCGCTGTCCACGATTCCAAGCAGCCTTTCGAACGGTCTTCCTCCGTTGGGTGGGGATCCTCTCGTGCTCAACGAGCTAGGAGTCGTCCTCTACCACCAATCCAACCTGGAGGCTGCTGCTGACCTTTTCCGTCAGTCATTGGCTCTGGCTGCGTCCCTGCAGTGCGATCCGGCGGCGTGGGTGGCCACGCGTGCCAACCTGGGCCACGCGTTGCGCCGTCTGGGTCGTCTTGAAGAGGCCTTGGCTGAATTTGACGAATGTCTTCGAATTGGCGCTGGGGGAAGTTCAACCGGGTATAGTACTACTCTGGGTGGTGCGGCACCATCGTCAGGGGTGGGCGGATACGAGGACCGCGGTCTGATTGGGTCTCTTCACACTTCTCGTGGTCTGGTGTATCTCGAGCTTGGCCGGACGATGGAGGCCGTTACGGCACTGCATGAAGCTGTGAGGGTGCTGGGGGTCAGCGGCGGAGATGCGGCGGGCGGTGCCGGCGTCGCGGGGACCCTGCTCTCTCGCGCACTAGAGTTGTGGGCACTGGAGGGACGAGGAAAGCAGAGTCCACGAGCAGAGAGATCTGGCAGCAGCGGACGAGGGAAAGGAAAGGCATCGGCAAGGACGAGAGAGGAGCCGTTCGTAGAAGAGAGCTGGACGGACGAGGTGGTCGATGCCGAGGCGTCGGGGCCGGGGACGGTGGAAGAAACAGTGGAGATGGAATTGGACCAGGAGGCGGACGGACTGCTGGGTCGAGCGCTTGGCCGCGTCCGACCTCGACGGACCAGGAGAGCCGGAGGAGGCGTGGATGTGCCGCGGGAGATGGAGGTCGAGGCAGCTGAGGGCCGTACTCGCGGGTCATCACGGCCGGTCAGCAGTCGACGAAGTCCGACACGTCGAACGCGAAGAGACGGTGGTTGAATAGTCGACCAAAAAAAAAAGAAAGAAAGAAAGAAAGAAACTCCATTGGCTGGTTGCTCTTTTTCTGTTGTTGTACAAGATCTTGCATGCATGGCGAGCGGCGTTTCTTGTTTCTTGGATGGCTTTACAGTGATTTTTCTATGAATCATAAAAGGAAGGGAGGGGATTGATTTGATTACGGTGCATTCCCACGGGCGTTGTCTGCACAGAACCATGCATACATAATAATCTGATTGTTCAATCAGTGATCGTTGACGAAGAGAGTAATTTATTTTATGGCCTTGAATTTTATCAATCGGAATGGAGATTAGGGAAGTAAGTTTGTGGAGTGATTGGTAAATACTCGTTAGAAAAAAATAAAATAAAATAAAGAGTCAATGTCCGGATTATTATACTGCAGAAGGACTACCTACTGTACAGTAGAGTATGAGTTGTGCTCCATCTGGTAGTGTCTTTCTTCAAGATAAATATCTGGATGCCGTTAAGTTGATTACCTTTGTTTTTCAGGTAGCAATTAATTATCAACCCCCCAGGGGCCTAGGTGGACTGAGTCTTGTACATGAATAATGAATGACTTGCTGGGTAATATCCCCTCTCTCCTTGCTGCTTTATTTATTTCATTTTAAGGACATGAGTCAGTCCTATGGTCTGCTGTTCTATGATGGATTAATTGCCTAACTAGATAGATAGATAGATAGACGTCTAACTCCGGCCAGTGGTATAGCAGCATCTCCAAAGTTATCGAGGGACAAGCCTACTTCAAAGCTCTTCTCTAACGATTTCCACTACTGACAAATCTTGATGATATCTCTGATGAAGTATACAAAGGCAAGTCACGTGCCTGGCGCTAAGTGGACGGTGTCACGTGCTTCATCCAGGGCCGGCATGCAAGGTACCGCGGCGTACAGTAGCGCCTCCAGGACGATGATGCCTGTAGATACAGTCCAGGGTTCAGAAAACACTCTCCTCCATATGGAGTACTATGACTCTGTATTCTGTACTTTATTATTTATCACGCCCATCAATGATTTTTATTTTCCTCAAACCTTTATCTCCATCCGAACAGGCAAGCTGGCATACCACCGCGCGTCGGCAGAAACAAGCCCCACCGACTACGCAGCCAGCCCGCCAAGCCCGAATCCGATTGGACAGCGTATCCGATCTTCCATGCCGGGGTCTTGGCAGACGTTCCAAGCGACGTCGTGGAAAAGGAGATTTGGGGAATGACGCGTACGGAATAGGATTTCAGTCCAGCGTACGGAGTACACCAGACATAGGGAGTAATACGGAGTAGTGATCTGTTGGACATCACTGTACTGTACTCCGTCCAGATCAGATCTCTGAAGTGTGTCGACTGTCGACAAAGAAAATATTTTTAGACGACGATCTTCGCTCCGCCAAGAGTTCCTCTGCGGGAACTAGCAAACTCTCGTGACCGGGCGTCATAGGAGGATTTCGTTGCCAAAGCATATTTCGACCCCATCAAGAGGTGATGACGACGTCAAGTTGGTTGAGAGTGACGTCTGAATTTTTTTTTTAAAAAAAAGGGAGATTCGTTGTGTATACCTGGTGTATACTGCCCCTGTGATCGTCCGTATCTCGTAGCACTTTGCATTCGGCTACGTTAGAGCTCCTAAAGACACTAGATTAGGCGGAAGGGCTGCTGAACAGGACTAGCCTACTACACTAGGCACCGTCTATCACGTCCATCAGCGTGGTCCTCGAGATACGATCCGCATCAATCGGCTCCAGCCGTGGTTTCAATCTGACCGTTGACGCTTCATGTGCCGTCCGGCGAACCTGTCCCACTCCAGGTGGCCTGTGCATTCCCCGGTCTCAAGTCCGACTCTTGTTTCTCCTCGCTCGAACTCCCTGCATTTCTCATTCCCTCTTTCGTCTTTTCAGACGGAGGAGAAAGAAGACGAAAGGATGGAAAACAGGAGCCGAAATAACCAGATCTAGAAAAAGAGGATGAAAGCCTTACCGAGATGCGGCGTTGCGGACGTGACATCATCATCCTCCTCATGGCCAGTCTCTGGTCGCTCCGACGGGGCTTTCTGTGGATTTTGCTGGGCTTGACCACCGCGACCACCTGTCTCTTCCTCTATTCAAGCTGGCTGGGCTTCAATTCGGACCGCTACCATCTCAACCCCTTCCTGGCCAAGTTTGTTCCCGCCGGACACTGCGCCTGCCAGAGCTCGACCACCTTCCAATGCGCCAGCTGTCTCGAGTGTTCCGAGCTCACCACTTACAAACCGTCCTCCGCCTCCAAGTGGACGTTCCAATACGGCCGCGACGATCGCAATGAGGGCCTCGACAGAGACCGGTGCCAGGCGGCTTTTCCGGGCCTGTTCGAAGACATCGCGCGTGCGACCGCCTACTGGGAGGCCCGCCGTGGCATCTCCATGGACGACCTGGACGCGATTCCGCTGAACGAGGGAATGGCTAGGGCCTTCATCTACAACGGCGAACTGTACGTCGTCTCCACCCGTGCCAAGGGGGAGGACCATCGACGCAAGATCCTGGGCGTGCTGAGCGCCATCCACCGGGCGCTGGTCGCCTCCCCCCACCGCGCCGATCAGCCCAACATCGAGTTCGTGTTTTCGATCGAGGACCGCATCGACGACGTCACCAAGCCCGACTATCCCGTCTGGGTGCTGACCCGGACTCCGAGCGAGCAGGCCGCCTGGTTGATGCCGGATTTCGGCTTCTGGGCATGGGAGAATGTCCAAAACAGCATCGGTCCGTACAACCAGGTTGTCGAGCGCATCGAGCGGAACGAGCTGCCCTGGGAGGAGAAGAAGGATAAGCTGGTGTGGCGGGGCAAGCCCAGCTTTGCCCCCAAATTGCGGCGAGCGTTGATCGAGGCGGCGCGGAATAAGCCGTGGGACGATGTGCGGCAGGTGGATTGGTATCAGAAGACGAATGTCATCGGCATGGAAGACCATTGCAACTACAAGTTTATTGCGCATGTCGAAGGTAGGGTGGGCTAATGTTCTGCTGTCCTAGAACGAGCTGACCCGTCACAGGTCGGTCTTATTCAGCTGGTCTGAAATATCGTCAGGCCTGCCGGTCGGTGATAGTCATCCATAAATTGCAATTCATTCAACACCATCACTATCTGCTGGTCTCCGAGGGTCCCCGCCAGAACTACGTCGAGGTGGAGCGCAACTTTACCGATCTGCCGGAGAAGATGGACGCATTGCTCCAGAACCCAGAGATGGCGGAACGCATTGCCAACAACAGCGTCAAGACGTTCCGGGAGCGATACCTGACACAGGCGGCGGAAGCCTGCTACTGGCGAGCGCTGTTTGAAGGGTATGCGACCGTGTTTGCGAACCGCAATGTGACTCTCTGGTCGGAGCGAGACCGCAAAGAGCGGGGGTTACGCTACGAGTCGTTTGTCTTGTTGGAGAGTCCGTTGATGTATGACTTCACGGCTCTGAGTTGACAGCGGTTTAGAAAGCGGGACTTTCTAAGCCGGATGACTATAGAGATCTTATATACACATCACATACACATACATTGGGGCAGGTCTGGAGTTATTGGCTGGGCGATTGACCAAGTTGGGTAGAAAGCGTTTGTCGTCTCTTTCTCTTCTATACAGATTCTACTGTATATCTTATCTTTTTGCATATTCGTTTTAATGTATACTACGGAGTACTCATTGCATGTTGACCGGTCTTGAGGAGAATAGAATAGATCGAGAATGGCTTCCAATCACCAATCCACCCTGAATCTTTTGTCTATCTGCATAGGTATATACCATATCCTGGGAATATCATCTGCGGGTGTCTCGACAAAATCAAGGTATTCCTCTTGAGACAACCCTCTCTACCACCAAGGCGGAGGGCTCGAGCGGCTGAAGCTAGCTCCGTCCTGTGGAACAAAGGAAGCTCTTCGTTTGCGGAATCTTCTTTCTGCAGGTATCGGAACGACACAGATGTGACTGCTGGGATACGCAACCTGCAGATTCCCGAGTTAGAAAATACTCCGTAATAGATCATATGCACATGCAAAATCCCGACAGAGGCGAATACAGTTCGGCTGGATTGAGCCTGTCGGGTTTGCAGAATTCCCTCTTTCGCCTACCTCCTCTTGCTGATGATGCAGGTATGTTGGATTATCCCGTCAAGATCGAACTTCAGGACAGCTGTCCAGCCAGCCAGCTGTCCAGGGAATGAGAATCTTTTTCACTACTAGTGAGAGGAAATATTCACCGCAAGGACCTAATATCGAGATTTCGATGCACCGTTCTACCTACGGCATCCATCTATCTAGATCGATCCATTCATTCACTGCCTATCTGCCTGTCTACCTGCCTGCTACCGACCAGCAAACGAGTCACCGGAGATTTCCTTCTTCTCAGCAGGGGTCTGGTCTTCATGATTGATTCACTGTCCGAATCTTGCCGGATTTTATCCTCTTACTCTCTTTTGTTGCTGCCGTACATAACCGTCACTGCTGCAGGAAGCAGTGAATAATGAACGAGACGAGGCCTTGCTCGCTTAAGGTGTATAAGATCCCTGCATCCCCCGTCCGCTGTCCCGATTTCTCTTTCTTTCTTCCTCACCATACTACCTCCAAAGAGAAAAAGGTCTATATATTTTATATACGCGAGCAGCTAGCCATACCCAGTTCATTATCTTCATCATTCTCTTCTTCGTAAATTAATCTTTGCTTTTCAGTTTATTTTCCCTTTTTTTTATTTTATATTTTATATATTACATTACAAACTACGCGGGCACGTGGAACAAGACTGTCTCTATTTATTCCATTCTATATATCTCCTCTGCAGGTTGCAGGCAACCCGCTTCTCTGGTTTCTGGCATCGAGAACTGCGACCAGAGAAGTCCTATTACCCACAAGAGGCGTAAGTTCCAGTCAGACGGACGACGGACGGACAAAGAAAAGAAAGGATTGACGAGGTAATAACTGACAGGCATTTATTTATTTTTTTGTTCGTTCGATGCAGTGCCACACACACAAAGTTCTTTCCAACTAAACCTCTGACCTCACGGTCCTCACCTGGAACTTCCAAAATTCTATCGACATTATGATGCCGTAAATACCTAGTCCTTTTCAAAGGTTTCATGAACGTCCTGGACTGGGCAGGGCCCATCCATCATTGTCGACTTCATCATCATCAGGGACCATCAGACCATCCGAAAGCACGATGGAAGATATCAATATATATATACCTACCACTTTTTCGGTAGGTTCTGGCTGGAGCTACTAGAGAAATATCTCCCTTGTGAAGAGTACTCGATGACTCATTGTCCTGGAGTATATTATATTACATGTATGTGCTTCACCTTGTTGAAGATAGCTAACTGAGGAAAGAGTTGCTAATCGAAGCAGAGAGATGGAATCTTTTTCGGCTCCAGCAAAGGCATTTATTTTTCGTTCCATGCAGTGCCGAACAAAGTTCCTTATTCCAGGAACCAGCCCATTCCTCGGAAGATTTGAAAAGCCTGTGCAAGTAAAGAAGGACTCCATAACTCATTTTTTTCCCCGGCCACGGGGAAAGTACATGGCCTCGCACTTTTTTTTGTCTTACAGAGTGTGAACTTTTACGTCATCTCATCCTGTATTCCCTCGCTTGAAGAGCTTGTTGTGTTCCGGGTATTTACGATATATCTATCGTTTCACATAAATGAGACAGACTCATGACATGACGGGCTTCAGCCAAGCGAGCAGATTCTCGCCTGGACTTCGTCATGAAAACGCGGCTGGGTGTTGTTAAAGAGTTCCCCTGACTCATTGCTTCGAGGGAACAATTCATCCCGGGGATCTTTTTTGGGAGATTATTGAATCGCTTATCCCTTATCTTATTGTCCGCTTTTGATGAGGTGTATATGTATATGTATGTGATTCACCTGGTCGAAAATTGCTACGGAGAAAGCTGCTAATCACCATAGGCTCTTGAAGCAGAAAGATGGAATCTTTTTCGGCTCCAGCAAACCAGACGAAACATCCTCAAAATCCATGATTCTCGGCCTTAACCACGCCGCTCTGATCAATCCTGGTGGTCATGATGAGGCTCACGCTCCGTCACTCGACAGTTGTCCCTCGAGTCTTGTGCCAACGGGCACTATTTATTTAGAACTTCCTTCTTTCTCACAATATCCGGTCTGCTATTCCTCCTCCTGATGGCTGCGGGCCTGTGGGCACTCCTCGTGCGATGTGGGATTCGATGATTCGATCCACCGACAATTTTTTCGAAAAAGCAATCGACACTCATGTCACTCAGTAGAGCACAAGTCTATCCAGTCGGTTCGTCGACTTGACCTTGGCCCCAAACATGACTGCGTCCTTCGCAGAGAAATGTGAAACAAACCTGCAATTGCACCTGTGTCGGATCACCCACCCTAAACAGGGCTGTCTCGCCTGCGACTTCGCCACATCTCGAGTACCAAAACGCCTAGGACTACATATTGCGTGCTTCGGAGTCCCTGCAATAGGACAGGGCTGCGCCCATCACTGAACGAGGGGAATTAAAGCACACAGAGTCGGAAGACATTCTTCCGGTGAAGTAGGAGTGAATGGACACATACTGCCTTGCTCCAGTCTATTTGCAGGAACCTCCAAGCTCGGTTGTCCATCCTTGTGTCTTTCACATCAGCAGACGGCAACGGGTCAATAATGCCTCAGCGTGGAAGCGGACCATATGATTGTCATGTTGCATGGAATGGCCTTCCATCTCCCATTCCCTGAAGGAACGAAAGAAAGCGAGGATCTTGACCAGCTGGAACTAACTGAACCAACTGCGATCAGCGAAAAGTCCAGCAATGAGGGCGTGCAAAGGAGCTAGAGGCAGCAAAGCAGTACATCGTTGACAACCTAAACAAGGGATTCATTGTACCGAGCAATTCACCCTTTGCTTCACTACTTCTGATGGCTCGGAAGGCTGACGGGAGATTTACGTTTTTGTGGTGACTATCGGAAGCTCAACGCATTAACTGGAAAAAAAACCGATACCCCTTACAGTTGATAGACGAGTTGATGGAGCAGTTGAGCCGAGCGACAATCTTCACCGAGTTAGACATCCGAGTCGCATACATATGGATCCAGAGTCTAAAGGTCTAAAGATCTGACGACACATTGTGCATTCAAAATCTTATCACGGAGATTTATTCTGCTGATTCTTCTTGCAAGAACGGTTTCTGTGGCAAAAGAGGAAGCTTCCAGGAACGAACAGCACTCGACTCAGCGAACGAACAGTTTTCAAGACACGATACCCATGCTCAATGCACGCGCTCTGCACCAACTACCGAAGTCATCCCGACATCCTCCTGTACCGGTGACCTCGGCCCCGTTTTGGATCACGCACTTCCCTGAAACACCACAAAAAGAGCTATGGCACGATAGATACTCTGCACCAAATATCGGTGTCATGACCATCTCCACCGGTTGGATGTCAGTTACATTTCCAACGCCAACGAGTCGGTATCTCCTTGATATCAGGGTGGAATTTTTATTCTTAAGGATGTCCCTGTTGTTGATCCACCATTAAAAGGCACAGATGTGGTTGCAATTGATAATACCGCTTATGTTCCTCCGGCTGATATGGCAGGAACAGATACCGCCGCAATCTTGAATTCGACGCCTGATCCTGTCCCGACAATGGATGAATCTCCAAATGAAGCTGGCGTTACTGTTTCCTCCGGTTGATATGGCAGGAACGGATACCGCGGCAATTTTGAATTCGACGCCTCACGTTATCGATATTATCCCATGAGTCCGATCCCGGACAGAATATTCTATCCCATGTACATACAACAGACTCGACATAATAAGGGATGCTGACGGGAAGTGGATCAATAGGATTCTTGGCGAAATCCCCTACGGACAATCGCCGCCCAAATGATGGAAAGTACGGAATGAATTCTCAGACACTGGGAAGAGGGCAGAGCAATATCTGTGTTGCTGAGCGAACAGCAGCAAGTTGTGAATCGGAGCAAGAGTCCGATCCTGAGCCTATAGCAAGGAACAACAAAGCTGCGTGATGCTGCACGCACCATCAGAGATGAACTCGATATGTTTCAGACAGTCTACCGCAGAGAGACCCGGAGATCCAGTATGTCCTCTGGTATTATCTCCGCGGGACATCATGACACCTTTCGAGTGATGTTCTGGTTGTTGCGGTCTCCTTTCTCTCAAGCAGTAAAAGAGCCGGTGAGGGAATGCATTGCTACTCCGTATGTATATCATTCCTAAATGCTAATTAACATCAAGGGGATTGATTACTGACTTGGAAATAGACCGTGGGGGCCACCCCGACGACGTCACATTCTCACGATGGAAAATACTCCGGATCTTGTGGGATCCTACCTCGAACTTTTTGCCTCCACCGTACGTACGTCTCTGTGATGCCTGGGTTTATATCCTGGCCAAGATCTGTACGCCTCGGCTCCGCCACCAACGATGGCTGAATGACTTCAACAGCCACGGGGACATAAGACTGCACCGCCGCCCCCTTTCGCCGACAGTGTGGTTAATCAAAGACGGTATTTCTTATTTTCCAGTCTATCGCTCTGCAACTACACGCGCACGGAAATACGCCTATGTTTTGTGCGGCATGACTAGGGCAACAAGGGGTCAACATTGACTGCTTTCCTGCCAACAGCCCATCAGTGTATCAGTATCGGGTCTCTATGCCTCGCAAAACGGTGCATGATGCGTTACAGATTCTCGCCGGAAAAAAAAATGTAGCTGCGAAATTCCCAATATTCTTTGGGACACATCACGGATTGGCTTCCTTGCTACGTACGGCCTGTTTCGGAATCTTCTTGGGAGTCGTGAGTTTTCCTCATTCTCCGCAATAATATATATTCATATAAATCGCTAACTATCGACAAAAACGAATAAGCTGCAAAGCCTTTGTCGGAAAGCAGCAAGGCATAGTCGAACACGCCGATATGCAGGTCCCCCTCGACTGCATCATTGCTGGGACTGAGAGGTGTGTACTATCACTGCACGGCGAATGTGGGATAGCCAAGACTGAGAGCATCCTTCATGGATTCTCCATCAAGCTTCGCACGTTAGTCAATGGTATCTCCATTTAGTTGCTACAATGGTAGCATGAGGAAATACCGTCTCAACATTCCTTCCCAATGACCAATGTTCTCCGGAACGAGTCCGACAGAGCAATGATGATGCAATCCCTTGGACCCAGACCAGTCCGCAACTTGTTCCGCAGAACTGTGTCCATTGTCACAGGCATGTCCCCTACAGAGGCGTCGCGCATGGCAAAAGTATTGGAGGGACTTTTTATGAGTCTGGAGAACTGTCGAGCCCCCAAGCAAGCTCCTGTTCAATTTTCTTGCGCAGAGCTCGCTCATGTGGACATCAATTCATCAAAGCTATCAAGCTGGTGTGCTGCAACCAAGATCAAGCCCCTCATCACACTGCGCAAGAATCATCGCTCAGTCCAACACACCACACGCCGTTGGGAGAGGTGGCTGACATTTCCGAGACTTGCGCAATAACATCCTCAATTCAGGAAAACATTTCTTTTTCACCCAGTATCAATACGGATTCATGGTTTCCTCGGCTGGTTTCTCTCGATCCATACAGCACAGGTCTGGCGAAATCCTGCTAGTCGTCTAGCATAACGTCCTTCCAGTTCTCTCCTGAGCAATGCGCTACTTAGCACCACCGAACCCCCAACGCAAGCACAAAAGGGGGGGGGGGGGGAGGACGGTCTGAGAAGAACTCCTCGAGGCCAACTTGAGAAATAAATGAGGTTTACCCGGGTTCCTTTGGCCTCCACCTCATGAGTGAATCAAACATCCCTTATTGGAGACGACAACAGGCGATCAGCGAACGTGAACGAGCTAGAGGGATCGATAATAGAGCGGCGTATGTTTCAGAAGAGGCACGTTTGGCCCCTGGAAGAGCGAACGAAGAAGCCTACGCAGAAGGTGCTCCCCATTACTACACGACTTCCGATACCGAGACCAGCGTCGAGCAGTTTCAGATAGACTGCTACTCACGAGGTCATTGTTCGGAATCCGACATTGCTGGACTCCGAAGATGAGATCACGGCTGGAAATGCAGAAGAAAATGGCATGGCACCACGACAGTCCACTTAGTCCGCAGACTGCGGACTGGCTGGGTGCTGCTTGCATGATGTTCGACAGACATCACGATGGACAAAGAATCGTTTCGACGACAAAAGCTGTCGGAATACGGGATATGCTTTAGAATGAGGGAGTGATCTCCGGATCCAAGTGAAGGGGATGATACAAGTCCGGTTATTGTCCCAACCCATCTTGATGGTATCTAATAGGGCCCGGATATCAACAGTTTCCAGCTTGATGTCCGGTTTTCAGACCTCCGTCAGATCACACGAGTTGTCGTTCCAAGATTCTGAAGAAATAAGATGCCAGCAAACGACATCGACAGATCAAAGTCATCCAGCATGAGCGCAAAACAGTGCCGCAATGGGCCTGAACATTCCATCCAATGAATTCCTCCTGATGGATGGGTTCGTGTTGATGTCTGGAAGGCGATCACATGATCGTGATGACCCTTCTATCTGTTAAGGTGGTCATCTTCCTCAGCGACTACAAGCAGCTAGCACCAACAGTCATTAGAAAGTCGAAGCTTCCCACGAAAATTACCTCAAAGCTCGCCTGTTGGAAATTGCATTCTGATCAGACTTTCGCACACTGGTGCGGGGGCGTTTACAGAGAAATACCCTCAGTGGGAGGATGGCTGTTGATCCGCCATTAATGCTTTTCATGGACATCCACACATCCTTGGCATGTACACGGGAAGGTATATACAGCTGGGCGTTTCAGGCACACACTCTCTCTGAGAGACGAAGAAAGAACTTCAAGCCCTTGGTCTGGATGCAACGTGGAGTATGCACCTCGTCGTTCGGGAGAGGACATAGCACGAAGGAATGGGCATTACCGACCTCAGCTTATCATGGATGGTCTCATGGATCCTTTGCTTGTGCCCGAACAAGATGTCATTACGTCCTATGACGAGTGTTGCGCAGGCACTGCAGAGTGAGAACAGCCTCAGAGACTCTGTCAAGACCATCGAGAAAGCGGTGCAGAAACGCTGGTTTCGGACAAGAAGTCCATATCATGAATTGCGTAAAGTGTGGGTTGGTATGCCGCAAATCGAGTCTCAGCAAATCGAGTCTCACTTGTTTGCTCAGCGCTGACTTTATCTAACAGGGCAAATTGCCGCCTACATGGACCATTGCAGTTGTCGCTATGGTATGGATTCGTGTTGGCTTATAGCCAGAAGACCACAGCTCTATCTGTGCATGCTGAACCCTGTGTGACCGTGTCTGGACCAATGCCTGGGAGTCGAACAGCAGCTCCACGGTCGGGATATTTTATACATCCTGCTCTGTGCATTTCTCGACGAAGACACATCCCGCTGAAGGTTTTTTTTCTGCTGCTGGTGTAAGTAAATGTGACGGGAGGTAGGCCTTGCGAGGCCAGGATTGAGTTCGCAGCTGACAGATGTTAGCCAGTCCGCCTTCACGAAATGTCTTCGTTCGCAGTGAAGATTGGGATACTTGGGGTTTCCCTGCTCCAGCTGTCTCAGCTGTCCCGGTAAGTGCCTTCGCAATACATCTTGTTTTTGTAGGCTCACACCTCGCAGGGTCCCGTCATTCCCGAAGATACTGCCAGTATCTCTACAAACCGCCACTGTGGATTCAATGCAAGGCGACGGAGTATCGCTGGCAGACTAGGAGTTTATCAAGAAAATCCAGTCCTGCTCTTGCTCTTGCTCCAAAAAAAAAACCGTGTGAACACACCGCCAGATTTGTGAACTTGAGCATGGCTTCTCGACTCATTTCATCCTTACGCACGAGAAAACATGCTCCCGCAGGAAGATTGGACAAATATCGGCCAGGTATGGTCGTTGAAGCCGGATGGTCTGAATACTTGAGACTTCGCACTAGGTGGTGGATCATCGGATCAAGAGATGATGCTCGAGGTTTAGCTTCCAAGTGCTTGATCGATAATCTTCAGAGTGGGTGGACATCCTCGGTCCTCAAACGAAAGTGGGCATGTCCATTGAGACCATCACAACGTTTGAAATAGCACAGCTTGAGCACGTTCCACAATGTCATCCACCCTAGAATCTACAAAGAAGTTCCGCGCACACTATTTCAACTTGTCCATCATGGAAAGATCAGCCTCCGACTCTTCAGGGAAGACCGCAAGCAAATCCTGGGACATCCGGGCAGCAGAGGGAATGTCTTCCTCATCGCCCACTGGGGGCCAAACGACAAGAGTATTTACACACCATTCAGATTGAATATGGCATTCAGGAAGAGTTTAACAATCTGCAGAACCCACGCGGCTCTCAAGAGGCATGTTACAATACATGGATGTTCCATACCGAATGTCGAAGTGGTCGTTCTCATCAGCATGCACAGAGGAGGCAGACAGCGACTACCACATTGTGTGGGGGTTCCTGTGTGCCTGCAACACGAGTAAGTCATTCCTTCTTTGCAATCCTTTCTGGCTCTTTGTACGGCCAATGTGGCCTTTGCAAAATCACACATATGCTGATTTTGAAATAGATGCCGTCTCCTGCTGGACACTGACCCAGCTCAACCAGGTAGAAGTCATCACCAATGTATGCATGTTCTCTGCTAACTGCAATACAGTGTATCTTGACAAAAGTCCCCTTGTGTCGAAGTTATCAGCGCCTGCACAATTCTCGAAGGAGAAGAAGGATCAGTTTATTTCACAAGGAAGAAATATGGACTGGATCAGAGATGGGATGAAGCTTGCAGCATCGTCAGTACATTGCTGGAGCTACACAAGTACTTCAACATTGTGCAGGACAAAGATGCAAGGGTCCAGTCTCTGGATGAGAACCACCCATTTTTATCATCAATAATGCTTAGGCACTTTGCTTCTGGAAAGCTAATAAGGAAAGCCAATATAAGCCCGACATCGACATCATTGTCCAGGACAGCCAGCGCAACAAGCGCTGGAGATGCATTTTCGCAGATTGTTGCTTCTGCGTTTCGTCGGAGCTCCCCCTATATATAGGTTCCATGGCCTATACCGGTGCGAGATCACCTGGTCTCGCGAGCCGGTGTTGCAGTCGTGGTCCTCGTTGGACTCGACTAGTTCAGCTCTGCGAGAGAATATTCTTGCACAGGCTGTGATCCCGCAAAATACGAGAATAACGCGAGCAGCGACGTGATACACGAGCATGTGGCTATACAAATGTTCACGATCCTCTCGGAATTGATCATAGCGATGTGCAAGTCCACGAGGAACATCTCCACGTGGACGCGATATTACGAGCACGATTTATCAGCAAATTCTCAACTACTATTCCAATTTCGACTCTGCCATTCACCTTGCCCCGTATACCTCAATTTTCGGGCCAAGCGGAATTGGCAAAAGCTTCGTGATGAAACAGATAGCTCGAGAACACCGTACATATGTTGTGTACGCAAGCCTGGCTACGTCTGGTTCTGATGCCTATCCTCATCGGTCACCAATCGCAAACTATATATCTGTGATTACGCGTCGACCAGAAATGACAATGTTTTTCGAAGCTTTTATAGCGGCAAGTTTGGTCCACGTGAAGCTTTGCAAGAAGATGGGGATTACCTCCACAATGCATCGTGGACCCCAGTGGAAGAGGAGCGCCGACTCGCAGAATGACTATGTGAGTTTGATTGCTGATATTAATTCAATACAAGAGTGCTAACATCCGCTCGCTTCTTCAAGTATCCAGTTCTCATTTGTGTGGCGCGGTGAAGACAGCTTCGAAGAAAGAAATCCATCCGGACCTTCATAAATTCCAACGATTGTGGTCTTCTCGGAATCTTACTTTTCGTTGGCATGGAAGATTGGAGTTCTTGAATTACAGTCACTCTTGCAAACTCGGCTTACAAGGAATGCCATGACATTCATGAACTTCTTAGCGCAGTCTGCAACATGCGTGCTCCAACAGCCTCTACGTTTCTTCGTCCCTTTGACTCTGCAGATTGAGCAGTTTCTCACTTGTCTGGGGACGGTGGGGTCGCGGCAGAAGTCGTGATCGCGGTGATTGAGGGCCTGTATTAGTTTTTCCATGCATGATCGAAAGGGAAAGGGAAAGAAACCATCGCAGAGGCAGGGAAGGTTCCAAAATATTCGGCGACAACATCTAGAGCCGGTGCCTAAGCGTGCAGATTGTATTTTCACTTCGATCTTGCGAATGTGGAAACTGAGTACCACGCAGCCGTCAAGGTTGAGTTGTGAACGGACGAGAAGACGTTCTGCAAGCCAAGGAATGGAGAGTAGCTGCTTCGAGCTGGACTAACGGTCACCCTCACCATATGGTCCTACAGTATGGTCTTACAGGACAATTGCCGCGGAAGGGAGCTCAATTGCGACAATCCTTCCGCAAGAAGAGCTACTCCTGGCTGGGGGAAAGGAATTGGAAAACTCTGAGACGTCACGGTTTTGTACCTGTTTGGGTTAACGGGGAGCCAGAATCGTATCCGGGAGAAATTTCTGATGAAATCAAAGAGTTCATAGGGGACGATACAGATCCGCGTAAGTATTCCTTTGAAATCTGTGATGAATGAAGTGGTGTTTTTGACTTGCTCGTTAGGACATACCGATTTTGTTGGCCCCATTCGGAGCATCTTTTGGCTGTGCGGATATGATGACCTTGATGCAGCACTTCATGCTGTCCCTTGCTCTGGCCATCATAACAGACGGCCAGAGAGGAAATACCTGATCGTGGGACCCCCTGATGAAGGGATTCTCAGATTTCAAAGACAGAATTGCTAGGTGGACAGCTTATCGGATTCATGTGAATCTCAGCCGCCATCTTCTCCCCTGTCTTCTCCTTTGGCTCCATCTTTATCTGGTCTTCCCAAGATTACCACCCAAGATACTGCAGGAGGACCTGATGAAGCAAATGACCAAGATCTCTTTTGTTTTTCCTCTGATTTCCTTTTTCTTTTTGCTCAAATACTCGTTTACTTGCGAGCGAGGAATGTGATTATTTTGATTTGGGATTAACTGTGGAACATTGGGTCTCGGACGGCGGCAATGGGAATGGTTGGCCTCAGGCAAGTTACCTGTATGAACCCGGGTAAGCAGAGATATACCGAGCATTTGCAGAACGGACGAAAGCTAATGTTTTGCAGACATGGACCAATCGACAGGTACGCGACGGCGTGAAGATCCGAGGTTTGCACAGCAGTTCAGTACACGCTTTCATCGCGACGGAAGCTCAACATATGCAGAGAAAGACGACCCCTCGCCTGCCCACAATGCCTCCTTGGATGGATTACGGCGTCGAACTCGGGCAAGCCCGTTGCCACCACATCACGATGAAGTAGTACGAGGAGAGCTGTGAAATCAACCCAGCGACCGGACTGCTGGTTATACCAGGGTGCAAAGCGATGGATGGAGATACAAGGGTACTCAGAGAAGAGACCAACCTTATCACTATTCTCTGAAGTGTACAGTACAGACACTTCGAACTGCCAATCAGACATCTCGTGCTTGATGTGCACTCAACACACACGGTTAAGGCCAGGCATTTAGAATCATGATATTTTTTTGGGTATGTTTTCTCTTCGAATTGCTATATAGTTATGAAAGCTAGATAGCAATATTATTTACATTGATCCCTTCTCTTATAGGAGTCATTTTAAAAAAAGAAAAAAGATTAACCAATATGATCTTCTGTCAGGCTCCTGGCACTGACCCGGCTGGCGGAGCGTGGTTCTCAGGTCACATGGTCTTGCTTCACGTGACACCTCGCTTCGCCTGACCCACATAGATATCTCTCTTTGAGTCTACGCCTCTCAATTTCTTCTTCTTCTCCTTCTCTCTCGTCGATTCTGCCTTTCTCAGATAGAGCAGATAGCACGAATCAACGCATTTTACCTTTGCTGCAAGGTCTTGATATCATCAGATCGGGGATTATACACATCGAGGTTTTCGCACCAAAAGCCCGAGCGAGAACCCAAACGTCCTCGATGTGAAGCAAGTCCAACAATGGACTGACTTTGAGGAAGGGATCAGGAAGGTAGTGCGTCCCATAACTGACTGGACAGATGTTACCAAACTTTGGCGAGAAGGTTTGGGAAGAACATCTCAGGATTGGGAATGAACTGGGAACCCCAGGGCGTTACATGCAACAATCATGTTGGTCAGGAGATGATGCAGATATTTATACGACATTATCGTCGATTGTCAGTTTAATCCCCGGATTTCTTGCAAAGTATTTGCTTCACATCTTTCTATGAAAACCCTTGGATTGTGGGTGATGAGCAAGGATCATTTTTGCGAACTACTTGAGCTTGTGGTGCAAAGGGGGGGTAAATCTCAGAGTGGTCGACTTTGAGTATGGCGTTCCTCGAGTCAGGGGGACAATGGAAACAGTGACATGTAATGACAGACGTGTCATGAACGACACTAAACAAGAAATAACAGTATGATGCTGCTAATAATGAGAATAAAACTGTCTCTATTACCCACTCGCAAGGCCCAACTGCCACTTTTGGGCAGAGTCGTCAAACTCCCACGACCACCTGTGCTGCCAGTGCCGTCAATGCTGACACCCCCACTACCGGGACTGGTCAGAGTCCCTCCTGTACTGCTACTGCTATTGCCAATAATCCACGGCGAGCCGGGCAGCGGGTCCGAACTGTTGATTATCTGCGCTGCGTCGAGGAGCGGATTCTCAACCAACGCGCAGTCCGCCCGTACCTGTCCGGAAGAACTCGTCGCAGGGATGCTATTCGTCACAGAGATAGGCAGGTCAAAGATGGTGTAGTACTCGGTGCCATTCCAGCGGAAGGACTGATGCAGCGAGATGTTGTACGCGCCGCGCGAAGATGAAGAAGAGTCACTGCCGCTTCCGACCAGACATGCAGGCCAGACCCAATTGATGTGTTTCACCGTCGATGAAGGCTCGAGGCTGAGAACGGGGCCGACAAATGCCATGCTTCCGGCGGGGATATCGCTGCCGTTGGAGATGGTGAAGTTTCGTAGGGTCGTGTAGGACGTCAGGAAGATGGTGATGCTGTGGAAGAGAGTGGGCGAAGTGGGGGACTGCGTCGAGGGCGGCCAGGGGAGCTTGCCGTCGCCGGAGACGTCGATGGCGATTTGGAGGGTGTCTACAATACAGACTGTTAGTTAATGTCCATCGTAGTTGAGAATCTACTACTAAGTGAAAACAACTCACCTCCCCCTACCGGCGTATACGGCTGAGGCGCATCGACGATCGCCAACCCGGGGGTAAAAACCAGGCCATTGACGATGGTGAAGTTATTGCTGCCCATCACTTGTGCTGCTGCATGCACCACGAGGATGAAAAGAGGCATTGAGAAGGCGATCATCGTATGATATATAATGTACGAGGACAAGCATTGGACCATCAATCAGCAGTAATGAGTGAGTGGGTGTGTGTCCAGCAGAAATCGTATCTTTCAAAAAGTACATGTCCATGTAAATGTACCCATTACAATTAAGCCTAAGGGAATAAGACACACAGATGGGCAGGAAGAATCCGTGCATAATCAATCTTTCCAAGTCCAGGCTGGGGATATAGCATTGATCTCTCGAACTATGTACAATATATATATACATAGTGTATGATATAGTGGACGGACTTTCGTATGACAAATCTCCTGTACAACATATTAGGAAAAGGAAATAGGACTAAGGGGGGAAAAAAAAGGAAGCAGCCAGAACTCCATAACAGGAAATTAATCCCGGATAGTAAACTTGAGGCCGACCTGATACACCATACACCACATACACATAAATAATTTATTGTTTGTCAATTGCCTGTAACAATAAATAATAAATACTCCTTTGGTCATGATTGACATTGACAAGGACATGGTCACGGACATGGATATGATATGATACTATTCATTATGCACTATTATTTGTGCAGTGAAGAAAAAGGAACCCTTGAACCAGAAAAGACCAGACCAGAGCAGACCAGAGCAGACCAGACCAAAAAGAAGAACCAACCCCTTTAATTTATTATGAGACAAAACAAAAACACTGCCGTGCAAGTAAGTTCCTGGATTTGTAAAAGTAAAATTCCCCATCTGATACTCTCAATGCTTCAGAAGCCCGAAGCCCTGACTGAACGGGAAAAAGAAGATTAATTTAATTAATTAGTCCTAGGCACCTACCTAACTTACCTAGGTAGGTAGGTTAGCAATCCATGTACTGTTCATACAACTTGACCAAATTAGATAGCTTACTTACTTGCTTGCTTGGGGAAATCGGTCGGTCTAGGGCGGGCTTACAGTTCGGAGTAAAGCTCCGGGTAGGTAGGTAGCGTAGTCATTTCCACATTTGGCAAAAGCTGGTTACATGGGGCTTACAGCTCGGATAGCATGGTGAAGAGAGTTCATGATTTGGAATAACTTCATACAGACATAAGTACATGCATGCGCCAGTGCTATTTCATTTCATTTCACTTCACATTGCTTCATTCAGTCATGGACCTGGCAACTAACTAACTGCAAAGCACTGGTCCAAGCCAAGCATAAGAGCATGTTGCATACCAGGGTATATATAACATAACTCGAGGATTGCGAAGAGAGAGAGAGAGGGGAAAGACAAAGAGAGAGGCGTAACTGGTTCGTATTTTTCTTTTCTTCTTTTTCAGTACCCAAAGTCGTCAAGACTATTTGCAATAACACACGCACGAATGAAAGGGGAGTTGCAAAAAAAAGGCGTCTCTCATGATCCGATCGATCCTCTAGATCATTATTTATCGCCCAGAGACCCACCAGAGGTATGCATATGCATATGCATATATGTATATAAAGGTCATAAAAAAAGAGAACTTTCATAACTTCCGTAGTCGAAACCAAAACCAAAACCCATCATCAATCCCTGACGCCAGGACCAGTTCTCCTGCCATGCATGTAACCAAATCCTGCCCTTTTATTTTTGTCTGTCCGTGTCGTGTTCATGCTGGTCGCTCATCTACCCCCACAGCGGAGGGTGGATATATTCTGCCGCTCGGTCCAGCAGGTTCGGCAATGTCCAATCGCCGCTGCTGGAGCTCTCGGGCGTCGGTGGAGGTAATGACCCCACGCTGGGGGTGATTGCGGACGCGCTCGTCGACCCGTTGTGCTGTTGGGTCCCTCCTGCTGCTGTGGATTGGGCGTTGACCGCATAGGTAGGACTGCCGCCGCTGTTGCCGTCGTTCATCGACGTGCTGTAGTTGCTAAAGGCCGCGTTCAACTTCTGCAGCGCGCGCAGGGACTTGGTGAGCGGCTTGGCCCACTGCGTCCGCGTATCTGTTGCCACCGACGCCGGGACGGAGGCCGTTGGCGGGGCCGAAAACGAGTCGGATATAGAGAGCGGAGCGTTCGTCATCCCTGGAATGACGTTGTATTGACCGTTTCCAGCGTTCAATCCATCTGCTCCCATGCCTTGGGGCGACGTCGCCGTCGTCCCCTCGAATTCTTCTTCTGCGCTCGCCCGCTCGGCGATGACCACCTCCAGCTGCCGGAGGAGCTTCCAGACCTGAGGCTCCGACTTGGATTCGTCAATCACCGCCAAAAGGAACGCGCAGCTGATGGCGCGCTGCAAGGTGATCCAGGCACGCGATCCGTGGCTGCTGCACGAATGCAATTCAATATATGACTCGACCGTCGCAATCAGACTCGCCACGCAATCCTGACGCGTCTTCGAGTGCAGCGGGTCATTCTTGTCGGCGGTCGCTTTGAGCGCTGGGCGGCAAAGCTCCGAGGTGATGTACGACGAGTGCACTTTGAGAGCCAGTCTTTGAAGGTGATCCACCGACGACAGACAGTACTTACGGTCTCGCAGATGCGGTGCTGCATCTGCCAAGATATGCTGAATTCGTTCCTTGTACGCCTGGATAGCTTTGAAGCTCATTTGGAAATGAGGGCTCAACATGCGGCCACGGACAACTTCGAGGGTCAACGAGATGATCCTGCACATCGTCTCAAAGTAATCTCGCTCGCCGGGCTTGGACTCAGGCCGGTAGGCAATATCCGGTTGGCTGACGGCGGTCGTAGATGGTCGGTCATAGGACAACGAGAAATGACTGTCTTGCCATGCCATTGACCACCTTGAAAGGTAAGTATAAAGCGAACAAAAAGCCTCTTCAATATCCTTACCACACATGTCTTCGAGTATATCGTTCCGTTGGAGGGAAACGATTCGATTCGACATGCAACCCGAGCGCCAAACCCATTCGGAGAGTCATTCCTATGAATGTTAGTCAAGAACAATTTCAAAAGATCTTGAATGATGGATTCCTACCAAGTAACACATAGGACACGCCGGGATTCATATTGTAGGACAAGACGTTTCCAATGATCAGGAGCGTTTTCATAGCTTCGATCGTGGGTTGTGACACGAAATTGGTCATCCGCAGACATTGGTAAGAGCAGCAAACTATGACAGTTAGCTGACGAATCCATATCAAATCAGAAGCAACGGCATACCGTAAACTTGTGATGTGAGTTCCCTCTCCTTGCCGGGGAGGTCTGATGACTGGCAACCCGAAGCCAGCACTGCGAAAAGTAACCCGAGGAAAGCCAAGCTCTTTCCAAACGGCCGTTGGGAGAAATTTTGGTCATCATCAGTCTTGAGCACGCCACCAGCGGCTGCTCGATTCCGAAGTAACGTTTCCATATCCTGTTCGAACCCAGGCACGTCCACGAGCACCGGGTAAAGAGTGCCTGCAATGTCTCTGTAGAAATAGAAAAACCTAGATGCAGTCAGCCATCGCATCATTCCAGAAGAAATAGATAGTGACCAGACTAACTCTCTGATTTGCTCATCGCTGGGAAGTGCACCGCACACAGCGCTCACGTCAAAAGTCGACGTGTCCGAAGACCACAGATCTACGAACGGATAGGTTGCAGTCTCATTGTCGAGCCCCAGCTTGGGCAAGATTCCGCCCTCAAGCAGAGCCTGCGCTTGAAGGGATCCGGACTTGTTGAGGATGTACGCCAGGACGGATCGCGAGCCAAGATGAACAGTGCCTTCGCCCAAGGTATTGGCCGTATGAATGCCTTCGCGCTCAGGGGACGCTTGTCCAGACCGCTGACTCGTATCTGTGCTGCGCGGCTCTCCAGTCGCCATCGCAGAAACGCGCCCTTCTTCGATCTGCTCGAGTCCAGATCGCAGGCTCGAGATTGTCTGTTCCATCTCTTTCAGCTTGTTGCAGACATTCTCCCAATCCTCACGAGGGATCGACACCCTGCCCCCGGCATGCGATGACCCTGCGCCTGGCTCTGCAGACTCGGATTTGACGTGCACATCCGACCCAATCATACTAACCGCAGCGGTCCCTCCTGCAGCAGGATCGCCGCCCCTCGCATTGTTCAAGAAGGACTGGGAGACTGGGATCTGGCGTTTCTTCGACGGCCGTTCGTACGTGCACAAATCTGCATGGTCGCGCTTCACACAGCCATCGCAAGGCAGGTTGCGGTCGCATTTGACCTTGCGCGTGTGACACGGGTAGCAGGCCTTGGGCTCGCGCGCCTTGCGTTTCGTCCGGATGATGGCGTCAATCTGGGACTGGGGGAGTTCGGAGAGGGGCGTGGACGTTCTCGGGGCTGAACCAGCAGCCGGCGAGAATGAATCAGGGCGCGAATAGGACGATGCCATTGAATTGGACATTGGCAGCCCGGGTTGCGTCGTCGGATAGAATTTAGGGACAGCTGCGATGGTGGAAAGCGTAAAATGTCCAGAGGGAACGGTTCATAGGAACGTCGAAGGCACAGACATGGCTTCTGTCGAATCAAGATCTCTCGCACCACCATCCACAATTTTTCTCGCACAGCAGAGGAACGAAATAGCGCTGCAAAAATGAGACATCTGCGACTCGAAGCACGAGCAAGCTGGGAGTGGAGGTCACGTGCAAGCTAGAGGTTGGGTGGCAGATAGTTGCCGTTTCGGGGATAGCGGCATGCCCGCGCTGGGGATCTTAGTCATGACGCGTGCGGGAGTCGGCATTCTATCAACAATTCAAGACTGTCGCCAGCAGATCCGTCGCTTCCCACGATGACGACAAGACTGATTGGTGATGCTTGTGGCGTCTAGAGAGATTGCTATTGCCTGTTCTGTCATTGGTCGAAGCTGCTGTCAATGACTGCTCTAAAACGACCACATCCCTGACGAACACTGAGCAGTTCCTGTTGCAATATGACAAGAATGGAAAATTTTTGATCTCCATCCCTGCCTAGCCTGGATCGATAGCCGTGCTACCCGCGCTGCCTAACTCAGGTAGGAAATGCCCGGGTCTGTTATGCCGATTCCCTGGCTAGTCGAGGTATGTCGCTCATCAAGTAGTATGCTTTGGTCGATGTATGTACCTGTTTGATCAAATACTTTCATTTCAAAGAAAATGACAATTATTATATCCTCTATCTATTGTCTATGTGACATATAGCAACGAAGAAAAATGCTCAAGACGCCTTCACCACCAGTTTTCCAGAACTTCCGACAGTGAGGACTAGAAGATGAAAATGCAAATGCAAATGCAAAGAAAAGAAAAGATAAACCAAAAGGATCGGAAGAAGCCACCCAGCGCCATGATGATGCTAGTTGTGCTCGTTCAACCCGAATGCCCTTGAGACAAATGAAATGAAATGTAAGGTATGCAAAGGGAAGAAAACAAAAACCAGAAGGAGAAAAAGACAACAAAGAAAAATAACAGGTCAGAAGACGCAAAAGTCGAAGAAACAAAAGGAAATATGACGAATGTCCGCCTGAAAATGCTTAATTGAAATCTCTATACAATCTCGGATGAGATGGTTGTGTCTTAAGAAGCCTTCTAGTGTCCGCCATCGAACTGCACGGCCTTGTTCTCCTCGTCCTCGGAATATGCGAAATGGGAATGTTTGCGAATCGATGCGCCATAGAAGTAGAAGACATACGGAATGGCGCAGCATGCCAGGGCAATAAAGGCAAGCAGTGTGCTGGCCCATTGGTAGTTGAGCCGGTGGTACATTTGTATCGTGAACAGCACACAGCCTGCACCCCACATGGACCGCAAAAAGGTCTTTGCCGCAAGGGCAGACGCGGCCTGGTGCTGGTATGTGTCGACTACAAAAAGGATCTTGAGTCAGCTTCCATGCTCTCCTGATGGGAAAGTCAGAGGGCAAACATACCGAGATAGTTGTTCGCCGAGTTATAGAGGAAAATGAAGCCGAATCCAACAGGGAAACCGCCGATGGCCGGACCGATCCAGTGCACATGTGGATAAGAAGTCCAGGCAAAGATGAATAGTCCGATAGGAATGAACCAGCAGGAGAACATCATTGGAATCAAGCGCACTTCCGCGGGTGGTTTGCCACCGTACTTCTCGCAAAGCTTCAAGTAATGCTTATTGACGAAAGGAGAGCAGAAGGCACTCGAAACGACACCGATGGCCAAAGGAATGAACATCAGACCGGTGATACCGGGAGAGTAGCCTTTGCCCTCCTGATAGATGAGGGGGAACCTGGATAGTCGTTAACATAGTTTTCCCTACGGACATTGCGACCTGGTGGTACTTACGCGACGAAGAACATATACAGCAAGCCGTAGAGCACGGACATGTATATGGAGATGAACAGCACAATCGGCTCGAGAAACAACAGTTGGAACGGACGGATCAAAAAGAGCCGAAGTTTCTCTCCCAGCGGCCGGTCGTCGAGCTCCTGTTCGGTCACGTATTTCGGGTCGTTCTCCTGCTTTCGCAGCTTCTTGGCCCTCTTCTTGAGCAGAGTTGGAGCGTATGTTTCCGGAACCGTGAAGGTGATCATGGCCCAGGAAACTCCAGACAAGATCAGCTGGATCCAGTACAGCCATCTCCAGCCGGCCGCATCGTACAGGAAACCACCGACCAGAGGACCGATGGCTGGTCCGATGAAAGGGGCGGCACTGAAAGCAGCCATGGGAACGCCTCGTTCTTCGTTCTTCCAGAGATCTGCCAATGTACCTCCGACAAGGGTCATGGGCGCACTGAACGCAATTCCGTCGATGGCTCGGCAGACAATGAGAGTACCGATATTTGGTGCTACGGCGCATGGGATCTCGAAAATAACGGCGATCAGCAGGGTGCCGCCATAGACGATTCTGCGACCCAGCATCTCTGACAGGGGGGCAAACACCATTGGTCCTGAAGTTCAGGTTAGCCCATAAGAAACCCTGTAAAGGGGGACAAGTCTACCATACCGACTCCGAAACCTACGACGAAGACAGTGATTTGGATCAGGGAAACTTCCATTGAAATGTGAAAAGTCTTGGTTGGACCATCGAGACCAGCCGTAATGACAGCACTGCAGAAGGCGACAACGAAGCACACGAAGGCTACAACCATGGTGCAATACCATTTCATTAATTTGGACCAGTTCTTGGGATTCTCAGGGTCGTCAATCTTGAACGTCACCAGCTTGTAGTCTTCCAGCTTCCCCGTCACGTTGGATCGGACTGGCTTGATGATGTTCCCTGTTCTGGTCTCCGTTGTGAATTCCTCCATGTTGGCATTCTCGTTGACTTGTCTGAACGGCAGATCCAAGGGATCGACTTGTCCCGGGTTGGACCCAAGGGTGATGGTCCGTCTGGGGACCTCACCACTCCCGTTCGTCTCCTCCCCCGTCGTGGATGCCATGGTGTGAAGACTTAAGGGGAAGCTGGCCTTGAGCGAAGGGATCTGATTGAAGCTTCAGTCGGCGCTTGCGAAGGAGCTTTCATAATCTTGGAGGCGGCCATGGCGTTCTTATATTCCTGATATAGTTTCTGGGTCTCCGCCGACGGCTTCAGGATACCCGGCATGTCGGTCCCAATCGGTCCCAAGTATGTGGGGACTCGTTGGGCAGTAAGAGCGCAAGGGCTATAAAGACTCATGGTCGAGGCGTGTATATCGCAACCCTGACGTCGGTTCACATCGACTTTGGCGGCGGATCATTGGTTCTGGCCTGGCGTCGGACTGGGTCGGTTGCCCGAAGCGGAAAGGCACCCAGGGTCATGGCTTGCCCGAAACGGAAACATGCTTCGCGGGCAGTCGCGGTCCATCACGACATCCAGGCCCCTCGATGGGTCGCAACGTGAAAAAAAAAGGGGGCAAAAAAGGGAAAAAGAGACAAGAACAATTCAGTTCCAGCATGGTGTCAGCACCTACGAGACAGATCAGCTGAAACGAGGCTGCTAGAAACGAGGCCACTACGCAGGCAAGTCTACACAGTGATGTATGACGATATGGCTGTGTGCTCAGGACAGAAATTGACTCATCCAACTATCAGATCACTATTTCAGACTATACGAACATAGATCGTTCCAGAGCGGAAGGAACTGCCTGGATTAATCATTATTGAGGCTGTCGCGGCAATAATTAGAAGCAGGGAGACGCGCCCAGTGGCTGAGTGGCTCCGACAACCTTAGACCCCACGATAAGGCCTAGGGCCCGGGAGCGACTCGGGCTCCGTGGGTCATGACATCTCTAGAAGCCTCGGCCCTAGATAACGCTGTATGCGCTGCCACCACAGACCCCGCACGCCGTCTGCCGGAGCAAAGTCGAAGGAGGGCTTGGAAGGAATCTTTCATACACGTTATCGAGGCAGATTTCCAGCAAGGCTAAATAAGTACGATGGAGAAATGATGCCCAGAGTGAAAGATTGCTATTCCCGCGATAGACGTCAACATTATGTTTGATTAACGAATCAATGACCATGCATTGCTATCACACGACTAGCCCCTCTAACAAATGGGCCCAAATGCTCCGTACTAAATGACAACTGCAATCTTCCAAAGTACATGCATGTGGTTCATGTCTAAGACAACATTATCCGCAAAGATCATTGTAGGGAAAATGGGCCGCAATTGGGGACCCTGCCATCACAACTGCGAGGAATACCAAAGACAGAAAGAAACACCGCATGGTGGTGGCTGTGTTCTGCATATTCGTCCCCTCCAGTTCCTACGATTATTATCGAGTCATTGACTCGAACAGAGAGCTCGATCGGTAATGCCTCTTAGAAGAGAACTCGCCAAGAATCCCAAGATCGCACGCCTGGCCAAGAAAAAAAAATTTTTTTTTTCTTAACATAAACAGGCATAGAATCTTCTCTCCACGCGGCGCGGAACAGTAAGTAGATTTGCGGAGGCACCGCATAGGGACCTCGTGGAGGAGTGATGATTCTTCGATCTTGATCAAAAGGCTTGGTTCATCGAGACATATTACTGCGAGGGGGATGGTGGCGGAGCGTATTTCCTTTTACGGGCCATCCGTACCAAGCAGCAAGGGGCTTGGCGGATCATTCCGACTTCCGCTCTCTCGGTCTCAACAGGGAGCGTCTTGGCATTCCTCGGGCGGAATGAGATCCACTACGGGCACTACACGGGCAGATGCATAGCTACGGAGTACATGTCGGGAGTCATTATTATTATTTGCAGCAATCATGCCTGTTTGTTGACTTTTCAATTCTGATGTAGCAATGATATTAACTGGTTGCCATCTCATGCATCACTGACATATCTATCGTCTTAGAGCCGTGCAGCAGAAGTTGTTTGGACACTAACTTCTAGCGTGAAACAGATTCTCGGGCCGAATGTTTGGACAGGGATTCCGATGTTTTCTATGGTTGACAGAGTACACTACGGAGTACTGCTTACGCTACTGCAGGCAGAACAAAATCGGCAGTCAACCACGTGAAAAATGTCCAATCAATGCCAAGCGATCTAGACCTGCTTGCACTCTAAGTGCAGAGCCGCGGTCTTATTTTTTTTTTACGCCTACGTTCTAACGGCTTGAGACAGGTACAGGCAATAGGGCTCGGGGACTTGCAGGTGGCCATAGCATGCATGCCCATTGGATGTTGGCCACAGCAGATGGTCCGTGTTGGCCTTGGCATCGGGAAAATATTAGATAATTCGCAGTGGACCTGGTCCGACCAATTAAAACAACATTCGATCTTCATGTGATGACTAATCCACGCTGTCTCGTTCGGGTGACAGGTCATGTGACATCACGTGGGCGATAAGCGCTGATAAGCCCGATCCGGACTAGCGCGGGGCCACACCTGATCGGCGGGCAAAAAGTTGGATGACTGCAAAAGTTCCTTTTCGATGGCCCGTCCAACGTCACGGTGAACCAGCTCCTTTCGCCAAGCAAGGTGCTGGACTTCAACCCTGGTCCTGGCACTCGCGGTGGATGTGCCGGGCCTGCTACATCTATCCGACAAGCCTGTCCTGGCTGAAGACCGTCTTTTCACGCGACCGGCCTCCTCAACATGGCGACTCCGAATGAGCCAACCTACCTGGCTATTCCAGGTTCTGTGGCATTCTCACGTTCCCGTGGCCGCGCTATTGCTGCGAATATTGGAGCTGCTGATGTCCGGGCACAATGGATTCACTACGTTCACACCTCCGAACCTTTGCAGGAACCCCAACGGGCCGTCCTCGAGCAGCTCCTCCAATACGGCGATATAACGGACATCCCGCCTTCATTCGACCCCGAAGATGGCCAGGTTCGCGTCTTTTACGTCTACCCGAGAGTCGGCACGATATCCCCGTGGAGCTCTCAAGCAACCGCCATCTCGCACGTGTGTGGTCTGGGCAAATTCGTGAAACGGATCGAGCGAGGGTTGAAGATTTCGTGTCTCTTAGTTGAGGGAGGGGATCTCGAGGAAGGTTTCCGTGACGCTCTGTATGACCGCATGACCCAGCTCATCAGCGAGGAGCAGCCGGATCTCCACCAAATGTTCTCCGAGCACCCTCCCCAGCCGCTGGAAGTAATCCCACTCCATGACGGTGGTAAACCCCCCGTTGAGGTCTTGCAGGAAGCCAACAAGCGTCTTGGTCTGGCTCTGGACCAATCTGAAATCGAATACCTCGTCGAGGCGTATTCTTTGAATGGGCCGGTGCCGCGGAATCCGACCGATGTTGAACTGTTCATGTTTGCGCAGGTCAACTCGGAGCATTGCCGCCACAAGCAATTCAACGCTTCCTGGGTGATTGATGGGAAGCAGATGCCCAACAGTCTTTTTTCAATGATAAGAAACACGCACAGAAAACATCCAGACTTCACGGTCAGTGCCTACAGCGACAACGCAGCGGTGCTGCAGGGAGAAAGCGCTGGGTTCTGGGCTCCTGATCCCACGACTCATGAATGGACACAAACCAAGGAGACGGTTCATTTCCTGGCTAAAGTTGAGACCCATAACCATCCAACCGCGGTTTCCCCTTATCCGGGTGCTGCAACGGGTTCTGGGGGAGAGATCCGAGATGAAGGGTCCGTTGGGAGAGGCTCCAAGCCGAAGGCAGGTCTCGCTGGCTATTCTGTTTCGGATCTTCTCATTCCGGAATTGAGACAACCCTGGGAACTTGATGTGGGCAAACCTCATCACATAGCGAGCAGTTTGGATATCATGCTTGAGGCGCCAATTGGAAGTGCGGCGTTTAACAATGAGTTTGGTCGGCCGTGCATAGCAGGATATTTCCGCACCCTGCTTACTGAAATCGACATCGGGAACGGCCAGAAAGAGCTGAGGGGCTACCATAAGCCGATCATGATTGCAGGTGGTGTGGGAACCGTAAGACCACAACACGCGATCAAAGACCCAGTTGCTGTCAAGCCGGGATCCTACCTGGTCGTCCTTGGAGGACCAGCAATGCTCATCGGTCTGGGAGGTGGTGCTGCTTCTAGTCTCGCTTCTGGCGAGGGTTCTGCGGATCTGGACTTTGCCAGCGTTCAGAGAGGAAACGCCGAAGTTCAGCGTAGAGCCCAAGAAGTCATCAACGCCTGCGTGGCGATGGGACCAGATAACCCCATCAAGTTTATCCATGATGTCGGTGCCGGTGGGCTGTCGAACGCTCTCCCTGAACTTATCCACGATGCTGGCCTTGGTGCCACATTTGAGCTCAGAGAGATTGATAATGCCGATAAAGGTATGAGTCCGATGCAGATCTGGTGCTGTGAGGCACAGGAGAGATACGTTCTGGCCATTGGAGAGGAAGGAATGAACAAGTTCACAGCGATTTGTCGACGAGAGCGCTGTGGGTTCTCTGTGGTTGGCCGCGCTTGGGGATCGTCAGAGGAAGAGAGGAGGCTCATTCTGCTTGACAGAGACTCGAAAGAGTACCCCAAGCCTATCGATCTTCCTCTGTCGGTTCTATTTGGAAAGCCACCGAGAATGACCAGGACGGTGGACTCGCGGAAACTGAAATTGCCAGCCTTTGATGCCAGTCTGTCAACATACCTCCCTTCGGCCACTTCGAATCAGGAACTCTTCAATGAGGCTGCCAGAAGAGTCCTCTCTCTTCCCGCTGTCGGTTCCAAGTCGTTCCTGATCACCATCGGTGATCGGACGGTCGGTGGGCTCACTGCTAGAGACCAGATGGTTGGCCCGTGGCAAACTCCGGTGTCCGATGTGTCCGTCACTGCCACCTCGTTGCTGCAAGGCGTGAAGACGGGTGAGGCTATGGCAATGGGCGAAAAGCCGACTCTAGCACTGATCTCTCCATCTGCGTCGGCGCGGATGGCTGTTGCGGAAGCCCTTATGAATATCGCTGCGGCAGATTTGATCGATCGGCTGAGCCGAGTAAAGCTCTCAGCGAATTGGATGTCTGCCAGCAGCCACCCTGGTGAAGGTGCTGCCATTTATGAAGCCGTGGAGGCCATTGGACTGGACTTCTGTCCAAAGCTTGGGGTCAGCATTCCTGTCGGGAAAGATTCCATGTCGATGAAGATGAAATGGACGGATGAGTCCACCAAGGAAGCCAAAGAGGTCACAGCGCCACTGTCCCTCATCATCTCTGCCTTTGCCCCCGTGGGCGATTTCCGGAAGACGTGGACGCCAACTCTGCGTCGTGTTGAGGATGTTGGCGAGACTGTTCTCATGTTTGTTGATCTGGCTCGTGGTCGTAAAGCCCTGGGTGGCTCCGCCCTAGCTCAAGTCTTCAAGCAGGTTGGCGATCAGTGCCCAGACGTCCGCGATGTGGAGCTGTTCAAGGACTTCTTCGATGCTACGCAGCAGCTGCAGGAATTGGGCATCGTTCTGGCTTATCATGATCGGTCTGATGGCGGTCTGTTTACCACTTTGGCGGAGATGATGTTCGCTGGACGATGCGGTGTAGAGATCATGCTGGATGATATTTGCCCAAGCTCAGACCCTCGCCATGTCATCGAGACTCTCTTCAACGAGGAGCTAGGAGCTGTATTCCAGGTCCGCAAGAAGGATGAGACCAAGTTCCGCTCTTGTTTCGCAACATGCGGTCCGCCACCAGGCCTGATCACCCGGATCGGTCGAGTCTCGGAAAAGCAGAAGCAGAATCTTACTATCTACCATAAACACACTTTGGTATACCGCAACTCGCGGGCGAACCTCCAGCAGATCTGGTCGCACACGTCGTATCATATGCAGAAAATCCGAGACAACGCTGCCTGCGCTGACCAGGAGTTTGCCAACATTCTCGACGACAGGGATCCTGGTCTGTCGTGGAGACTTACATTCGACCCCAAGGACAAGGCGCTCCCGCTCCTGACGAGTCTTACGCAATATTCGCCCTTCAGCAACAAGCCGCGGGTTGCGATTCTTCGCGAACAGGGTGTCAACAGCCAGGCGGAGATGGCGTTCGCTTTCAACCTTGCCGGTTTCTCCGCCGTGGACGTGCACATGACTGATATCATCTCGGGTCGGGTGTCGCTGTCCTCGTTCGTCGGCTTGGCCGCATGTGGAGGCTTCTCGTACGGAGACGTTCTGGGAGCCGGCCAGGGCTGGGCGAAATCGGTCCTGCTGCACGAGAACACGCGCAACGAATTCAAGACGTTCTTCGAGCGCCCGGATACGTTTGCGCTGGGTGTGTGCAACGGCTGCCAGTTCCTGTCGCGTCTGAAGGAGCTTATCCCAGGCGCGCAGGACTGGCCCAGCTTCGAGCGGAACGCAAGCGAGCAGTACGAAGGGCGAGTGTGCATGGTGCACATCTCAGACCCGGATCCATCCGCGCCGTCCGTCTTCCTGCACGGCATGGATGGCTCGTCGCTGCCGATCGCCGTCGCGCACGGCGAGGGCCGCGCCTCGTTCGCGCTGACCCCGAACGTGACACCGCAGGATTTCGTCAAACGCAACCTGGCCCCGATCCGGTACGTCGACAACGCGACGCTCAAGCCGACCATGACCTATCCGTTCAACCCGAACGGCAGCCCCGAGGGCATTGCCGGCATCCGCTCGCCGGACGGCCGCGTTCTGGCGATTATGCCGCACCCGGAGCGGACCGTCCTGAATGGCATCGCGAGCTGGCTGCCTCCGGAGGCGGAGCAATGGGGAGATATTGGGCCTTGGGGGAGAGTCTTTTACAGTGCAAGGAGATGGGTTGGATGAAGTCATTCAGTCGGCGATACTTCGGCAATACTTTGTGTTTTTATCTCTTTTTTTTTTCAACTTTTTTGACTTTCGACAACTCGCTCAGGGACAAATTAGCGAGGAACAAAAAAGGAACAAAAAAGGAACAAAAAAGGAAAATAAAAGTGCTTTGAGTGGAGTCCCTATCAAAACCTGTATCTAGTCTAGATATATCGTATATAAAAGGATAGAAGGTGTAAACGATAATCAATCAATCAATCAGTTAGTAGGAGGTTGTGTATTGCATATGTATATTCTGGCTTTGTTGCAGTTCGGTAGCAGTGAAATGTGAGATATATTTCTGATTTTGATTTTGATAATCATGACCGGACCGTGACCATGAATTATCTTGGCCGTACTTGCTGCAATGACGTCCATCCTACCTAGACAGATAGGATTATACCTAGGCAGGAATGACTCCTAACCCTAACGTGAATTTTTTTTACGCAGGTAATATACAATGCAATAGCATCATAATAGAAATAAAAAAATTTCTTTTCTCTGCTGACTGAACTGAACATCTCCTCGAACCTGTGCAAACATGGAAGCACCCATCCAACTGCCAGCAGCCTGAAGACAGCCTGCCTTCGCCGAAGAAGAAGATGAGCCCAGCCAAGCCACAACTTCCTCTCGGCGGCAGCGTCCTCCTACTGCAGAAGAAAGAATTAGAGGCATATAAAGCTGAATAGCGCCCAACTCGAAAAGATGACTGACCCTTGAAGGAGCTGAAAAAGAAGAAATGAAAGATCCGTGCGTACTTCGACGAGGGCTGAATACGGCTATCGTAAGTCAGTGAGTGATTATTAAATTATTTAATAATTTATTCTGCCTTAGGTAATGTAGACATATGTAGACGTATGTACTGTTCATCTGCTATGGAGGCAATGAAGTTGAAATTGATATTGATATTGATCTTGATATAATAAACATATATTGTACGGTACAGCTCTCGACGCCGACGACAGGATCTACTACGACAACGGCGAAGATATTGCATGTGAAGAATTGCTTGTTTCAGCGAGGATTCCGATTCAGACACAGAGAAGAAAAAAGGAAGAAGAGGAAGAAGAGAAGAAAGAAAAGCTGATACAAAAAACAAACAAACAAACAAGGGGTCGATACGCTTCAAATTCAGTTCTTAATAGCTTAATAGCATTATGCATATGCATATGCTTCTGCTCTACTTCTTGTAGTCTTAGATGTCTACTGACAAGATTGATAATAATATTATCATATTCCTCAAATCAGGACCAGACCGGACTTCACGATGTAGGTAGATAGATAGGTAGATAGATAGACGAGCCCGCGAGCAGCGAGCGAGCGAATCAAAGAAATTTCTGAATAAATGAAATGCAACGAAATGCGTCAAGCCCGTAGTCTTAATTCTCTAGCTCATTAACTACTCCGGAGAATATACGTATTAGATAGATAACTACTTACTTAGATCGAAGATCGATCGATCTCTAATATCTCGTAGAACTGTTATATATGTAGGAGCTAAAAAGAAAAAGAGAATAGATCAGCTCTCTCTACTCCGTACAGAGTAAATTAATATTTGTGCCCGCAAGCTAGCAACCTTCCTTCCTTCTTTCTTCAACGCTGTATAATGATATTAACGTGTAGTTAGTTATGTTATTGGAACACTGCTAGCTAGCTAGCTAGCAAGATCCTTCCGTCTTTGCATTCTCATAATCGAGCAAGATAAATATCTATATATTGCTGTACTGTACATGCACTTAGAAGACCCATATAGGTATGTTACATGTTACGTCATACTCAAGTATAGAGCGGTCCACGGAAAAACCCCATTTTTGCTGTCTATACATGCACCATACATAATAACACTCTCAAAAAGTCTAGAAAAATCTAGAAAAAAAAACTTCCACATAAAAATTCCATGCAGTACATATACAAAACAGATCTAGAGTATATAATCTAATAAGTCGGGGACTAATAGTGTTATACCCCGTAGAGTTATACGAGTCGTTGTTTTGGGGGCTTTTTGCATTTTTTGCCCTGGGGCTTACTCTGTAGTGTTACTGGTTGGGGGCGGGGCGGAACGGGGCGGGCGGGGCCAAAAGAAAAAAAAAAAGGCACAGCAATCGGGAAGGGATCTGAGTTGGGGGGAAAAAATTTGTACATATGTATAGGGGAAAAAAAAAGAAGACATAGGATGGGTATGTTTGGGGCACGTGTATGTATTATGTACGATGTATGTATGGACACACTCCGGAGTACCTAGGTTTTCGTCTCAGTCCTGGTCCTAGTCATAGTCAGCGCCAAGTGGATCGATCGATTTTAACTTCATCTGCATGTCTATGCTTCTGTTGGAAGGAAAGAAAAAAGATTGATTTGAGATCGAGATCGATCGATCCATTCCATTCCATTCCGTTTTCATTTACCTACCTACCTAAGGGTTCTACCTACCTAATGTAACTACCTACCCAGCTAGCTGGCTATATAACGAGCTGACGACTGACGACTGACGAACTGAGATAACCACCCCAACGCCAACTCCGAATTTTCATGACGAAAGGCCAACAGTCCCACTAGAATACACATTAACCGTTTGTAAACGTTGTTGGTGTCACAGACAGAAATAGCCCCCAGATACCATACCATAACATAACGTAATAAGTAACAGGTGGGAATGTGATGTAACCTTCCCTTTTCTGCCTGAATAACGAATCAGGTCAGACCAGGTCAGGTCAGGTCAGACGAGCCTTGTCCTGGACCGTGATTTGCATGACTGGAGTAGATGAAAGTAGACATTAATACAGAGCGAGAAAAAAAAACAGATGATGCGCTGCGTAACGGATAGCTTGCTGGTAGAGTGCAATCGTCAACTCTCTCGCTTCCTCCTCAGTCGAAACCCCATCAGGCCTTTCGGCTTGGGCTTCGGTTTGTAAGAAGCATGCTCATTGCGAACAACTTCCCTTCCACTGCTCGACTCGTTCTGATCGACCTCTAGCGACAGTGACGAGTTCGCTCTCAGCGTGGACAGCTGCGATCTGCGATCGCCCTTCACATACGGATATGTGAGGCTCCCTCTCGCATTTCCGCTTCGACTGGGCCCGAAATCGCTGTAGCTCGACTCGGAGCGGTAATGAGAAGGAGCAGCAGCAGCAGCAGCAGTAGTGATAGTTGGTAAACCATTCCCACGTAGACCTGCCTCCGGAGAGTTACCAGTCAAAGAGCTCAGCCGCGGATGTCGGATCAGCTGTTTCCTGTCTGGATCCGGGGACTGCGCTGACAACGGTAGCGACGTCGTGGACGTGTTCTGCGTCAGGAGAGCGCTCAGCTTGGACGAAGACGCGCTAAACGCACTAGATGCAGTGCCGTCGCTGTTGAAGCTCGAACTGCGGAACCACCGTCCCTGCTGGTAGAATGTGGCCGGCCTCGCTGCCGTCGGGACTGGTCGTCGTAAGGGCATGTCGGACAAGCAGGCACCGCTGCCACTCGTCTTCGGTCGTGCTTGATCTGCCTGCGTCTCTGATCCCCGTCGTGCTGCTTCCTGGCTGAAATAGCGCCCGACATCTTCTCTGGATAATGAACGTGAGCGACGGGCAGAGAACGCGCGCGACGAACGCCGGTCCGTCGGCGAGGCAGCCCGCGTCCGCGAGTCCATCTGCGGCGGGCGGAGATACACCTCTTCTCCCTCCGAACGGAAGGGATCCCGGAAGACGATGGTCGAACACCGCTTGGTCCGTTCCGGCGAACAGGACAGGCCGGACGACGTCGACATCTTCCGGCCGCTTTCTCTTTCGCAACGCGATGCCCTGCTGGTCCTTCTGCTGCCGCTGCTTCGAGCGCTCTTCACTGAACACCGCCGTGGCGAGACGGGCCTGCCCATGCGGGCGGCCACGGTCGACTCTGTTGGAGAATGGTGGATGGAGATCAGACAGGGGCGCGATGGCGGAGCCATGTACATGATCTGCTTAGCTTCGAAGATCTCGTCTTCCACGTCGAGTCCGTCGTCAGAGATGATCGAATTCCGGAAGAGAGACCGGTAGTACGGCATCATGTCCCCATCGGGACTGTCCTCAACCACGACACAGGTCTGGGGGAGGAGAGGAGAGGGCATGGGCGGAGTCGTGCTGGGGGTGAAGGGTCCGGTCGTGTCATCATCGCAATCATGGTCACCGTCGTTATCGTGGTCATCGCGGTCATGGCTACAGGCATGATCATGTTCCGGCACAAAAGTCGCTGTACTGCTGCGTTTCACCGTGGCAATTGAAATCGGTCGTGACCTAGGGCTCATCGTTGGGGAGACACCATGTCCCAAGGAAAGAAGTTGATCGTTGCGTGAAGGCCGGCTATCGTCGTCGTCGTCACCCGTCGACTCCTTCTCACTATCACTCTCAACAGGCGAAAGCAGATGGTGTGACGCGGCGTCCGCCTCGGATACCTCCTCCTCCTCCGACTCGTATCGTGCCCAAGTGGGGGGTTGTGAACCTGGAGCTCCTCTGGCCTCTTGCCTGGGCGATCCGGAGCAGCAATGGACGAGGTCTGCATGATCAACCGCCGTTGTTCTCTCCCGACACGGACTGACGAGGACTGCAGAAGTACCTCGAAGCAGGTGGGGAGGGCGGTCGAGGGCGGATA